TGTAAACCTCTGTTTCTAAGATAAGTTTCAACTATTACTTCCAGTAACTGTAAGCCACTAGATTGAAGTTACTTTAAACCTGGCGGCTTTTCTTTAGCAGTGGTTCGGAAGGTCTTTAGACCATTAACTTAAGACTTTGGAACAATGTCTCGAGGCTTTTCTGAACTATTGATTCGATGCAACTCTAAATGATACTTTAGTGGCTATTTTAAAAAATTTTTTTGAAGCTACATTAAAACATTTGTTCGACGCTAATTTTAACTATTGGTTTAAAACTACTCTAAACCACTGATTTCTTAGCTACTATAAACCATTGCTTCTCAGATGTTTCACGCCATTAGTTCGGAAAACTCTGAACAATTAGTTTGAGGTTACGATGATTCGATGATAAATGATTACTCTGAAGCAATGATTCGAGGTTTTTCTTAAAGGATAATTCGGGACTGTTCTAAACCATTAGTTCGAGACTACTTTAAACCAAACGTACCACCACTACTTATATGATTTATTGATAGATATGTATTAACTAACTAAAGCTAACTTAAATTTACCAACTGAAAAATCATTTTTTGAAATTCGACGGAGCACTAAAATGAATTCCTTATACTTAGAATTTCTTATACTTCCCCTACTTCCTACTTACTTATCCTTATACTTATCATTCGCTTGCTTAATGGTAATACTTCTATGCCTACTACAATGTTGCCACATTGAAATTATCAAATATTACTTCTGCCCCTACCACTGAACTAGCAGTAATTGAAGCCACAAAGCTTTTAAGTAGGGATTTTGGAAAACACCAAAATTATGTAATAAATGAGTGTCATTTAATAAACTGAATAATATAAATTAAATATAAACTATTTTATTATGCCTAAGATGTTTAGGATGCTACGATACATTACCACTTGTAACTGCTACAGCTTGCATTGTTCTACAAGCCACGCATGGAGCAGGATTACATGGACAATGTTATTTCGCAGTGGAGTTGTTGTTATTGGTGCGAGTACAAAGATTTATTTGACCAGATCGTTGGTGTCACAAAATTGTCACCACCTGAGCATTATCATAATTACAATATTGCCGCAATGCCATCCGAATGCCCGACACACACTTGAAGTGCACAAAGTCAACACAAACGAACTTGTACTCGAGCTGGAACTGGAGCTGGAGTAGTTAACAACCTAAACAAATGACAACAACACCAACAACAATATTTACACATAAGAAGTATTAACATGGTCAACACAACACAACACAATGTGACACAACACAAGCCAATGGCACAAGTAGTGTCACTAACGTGTACAACATAAACATGGCAACTAAATGTGGTACAGGATTTGAACAATGCAATGTCCTTAACGTATTTGTGTTTGTTACCAAGACATCAACTGGAACATTCAAACAAACTAGTTAAGAAACTCACAACTGCACTAAGTTACTAAAATCTGCTGCCTCATTAAGTTTGAATTCACCTCCGAGAAGAGGATATTTTAATCCAAATATTCAAAAGATTAATGTACTTCGCTCTAAAGCTCAATACTTTAACTTTGATAGTAATGTCAATGACTAAGTAGAAGTCAATAAAATAAAACCATGAGCAAAAAATGCAACGATGTTTCCTAGGTAGGTAATCCACTAATCCACGACTTTTGGATTAAAGTGGTTTTTAAGAATTGAAAAAAAATGTATAACTTCCACAACGAGGTTTCCGATCCGCGTTCCTATTAGAACGACTCCACTCTTTTCAGTTTTTTGAATATCAATATGGATTGGTCATTGCAATCCTACACTAATACAATTTATGTGTCAGATGTTTGGCACTCTTTTTTCTTTTAGGACTTAAAGCAAAGCAGCTACTGCAACCAATTGTATAAATAAATTTGCAGCCTTAAAAATTGGTCTTCACAATTCTCAAAAATGTACAACATTCATCAAAAAGTTTCTGATCATCGCCCTTCCTCTCCTGCCCCGTTCTACAACTCGAATGGTCCAACTGACATAAATGTATAACTCTCATCACGACGTTTTTGACCATCATTCTTCCTCTGTTGCACCACATTCTGTATCTTTCTTCTAATAGTCTCGAGCGCCACTGTTAAACGCACATTACTCTTCTATAGACAACTTTTCGCCAAATCTTTTGAACAAACTAAAGATGGCAGATGATGAGTGTCCTGCCAAGTTAATTTGTACTATATTATAGTAGTGTATCTGAGGAACACTTATCAAGTGCTATTAGAACTACATTCTGCTTTTGAGCAGATATACGAAGAGATATAGATATAGAGATGAGATAAATACCTGATGGGTTCAAAGACTATTGTAACTCGCTTTCTTAGTAAGCTATAGAATTGTTGTTTGTCCTCACCTATTTCCTGAGACGCTATGATGTTCAAAAAGCAATTCTGGTTAGCTGGTCAAGTTCCATTCTGTTTTTTTTCAACCGTTCTTGGGACCAGCTACGGTGTAGTTATAAAGGCCTGCTAACACAAACTGCAAAAATCTTACATGTACTCTAAAAACTTTCGGTTGGGCAATAAATTTGACAGATCGAAAGCAAATCTAGATTGAATCCAAATTTACCAATCGAAAACGTCATAAATACACAACATAATTTTAATTCATATTAGAATCATAGATTCTTGGTAATGATAATAGTTTATAGGTTAGGTTCAGGCCTTTATACATTACGACCAGCTTTATCTATTCTGCACCATCATAAATACAGAGTAACATTGATTTTTTTATCCAGTTGCTATCACAATCTAAACTATTCGATTTATATATTTGGTAATTGCAAAATAAAAGAATTCCATCATTCTTAACCACACTGTTTTGTCAGTTAAATACTTAATATATGTTATTATTCAAAATTTAAAATCAACGGTTTTTTTTATCAAATATCCACGTATTTATATAAAAAATTTCCTTCGTCTCTTTTGTTATAACTGTTATAACTTTTCACTATTTACACATGAGTACATACCGTCATTGCACTGCGACTAGCACAGATGTTTTCCTAATGTGTTTATGCAATTTAAATGCGGTGAACTAAAATTGCTTTAGTTTTATAATAAAATTAATAAGACAAATCTGTCTTCAAGTGAAGGACTTCAACATGAAACTATGTTTAAGCAGGACCTGGCGTACTTTATCCGCTAAAAGTAATCACAAACGTATTTTAAGCACTGCAACAAATTCCACCAAAGTCTCAAATACACAACGAGAAACATTTTTGGAAAGAGTCACAACCGGTCCTGGCCTACAGGACTTCATTAATGTTAAACACGTACCACGTGTAAATGCAATACCAGACCCAACTACAATTGTGCCTTATATAAATCCCGATACTTACGCTGGGCAGGGACGCCGAGTGTTCTTCGAGGTTTATGGCTGTCAGATGAACACAAATGACACGGAAGTGGTTTGGGCAGTGCTGCAAGAGAACGGATATAACAGAACCAGTGATGTACAGGAGGCGGATGTAATCATGCTGGTGACGTGTGCCATACGAGAAGGTGCGGAGCAAAAAATTTGGAATCGCTTGAAGCATTTAAACGCAATGAAGTCAAAACGTCCAGGTGAGTTTTATATAAACTTTTGCTGTGCCCAAGAGATTTGAATTAAAAAACTGAAATTTTTCTAAAGCACGTCGACCTTTACAGATAACGCTGCTGGGTTGTATGGCGGAAAGGCTAAAAGAGCGCCTATTGGAACGTGAACAGTGTGTCGATGTGATTGCCGGTCCCGATAGTTACAAAGACTTACCAAGATTATTGGCTGTTTCCAGACATTATGAACAAGCGACCATTAACGTGCTGCTATCATTGGACGAAACATATGCTGATGTGATGCCAGTGCGATTGAATGTGGAATCTCCTACAGCTTTTGTTTCAATAATGCGCGGTTGTGATAATTTGTGCACATACTGCATAGTACCTTTTACGCGTGGTCGCGAACGCTCACGTCCCGTGACATCAATCGTCAATGAAGTGTTGGCGCTGCGTGATAAAGGTGTCAAAGAGGTTACACTCCTAGGACAGAACGTCAATAGTTATAGAGACATAACTGTTAGCAATTCTAACGATAAAATTACTAGTAACATAGCACCAGGTTTTAGTACAATTTATAAGCCAAAAATCGGTGGCGTGCCATTCGCTACGCTGCTCTGTACTGTGGCAGAAGCTGTGCCTGAGATACGTATACGTTTCACATCACCACACCCAAAGGACTTCAGTGAAGATGTATTGCGTGTTATACGTGATTATCCGAATGTTTGCAAAAGTTTGCACTTGCCAGCACAATCAGGCAATGATGCGGTGCTCGCGCGTATGCGACGTGGCTACACACGTGATGCCTATCTACGCTTGGTTGATACCATTAGAAGCTACGTACCTAATGTTGGTCTCTCTAGTGATTTCATTTGTGGTTTTTGTGGAGAAACTGAAGAAGAATTCGACGATACTATAACACTTATCGAAGAGGTGCGGTATAATGTGGCTTTTCTATTTGCATACAGCATGCGTGAGCGTACAACCGCACATCGTAAATATGTGGATGATGTACCTGAAGCTGTCAAAATTGAACGTTTACAACGCATGGTCAAGGCGTTTAGACACACTGCAACAGCCTTGCAGAAAGAATATGAGGGAAGAGATGAACTTATACTCTTAGAAGGGAAAAGCAAACGCTCAAGTGAAAGTTGGTTTGGTCGCAATGAAGCTAACATTAAAGTTATTGTGCCTGCAACAGCCTTACCTACATCGAAAAATAGTGTAGAGACAAAGGAAATCGCTGCCGGAGATTTTATTGTAGCCAATATAACCGAGTCCAATTCGCAAGTGCTAAAAGGTACGCCACTTTACATTAGCACAATATCAGATTTCTACAATAAATAAAGAATATTTCCTATAAGAAGAAGAATTTTCTATTTAATTTTTGTTATTGTTGTACCCCAAAAATATCAGTTTGCATAGTCCCTTTTGGGTGTGCTGTACGGCACTTCTTGGTCGTCGAGTCGATTGCAGGCGCTTATTGAACCTTTTCCTATTACCCAGACTATGATGAAAACATTAGTCTTTCTTACGCAATTTTTTTTATTCTAATTAAAAATACTTATTAAAATTAACTTTTCAATCTTTCTCATTTTTACTAGCATTTTCTGCTTTTGTGTCATCTTCTTCACTTGATCTATAATCCAGCGCCACGACTCCCACGTTCTTGCGTATTACATTGTACAAAGGTGTTATAAAGGCACGAAAATAGTCTAAAACCTCAAAGCTGGCTGCTCGACATAGCAGCTCAGCATCATTAAATTGTGCACGAGTGTAGCTGCCATTGGCATAAACCGTGACAACTTTTCTTTGCACATTTTCAAACGCAAATGTAAAAGTGGCAAGTTTATTTTTTGACTCTGTTAAATCAGGGTCCAGTATTAGACGCTGTTTTGCATCCAAAATGCAATGTACTGCCGTAAATACATATCTCATAGACGCACCATTCATAAGCATTGCCAAGGAAACCGCATTGAGCGCACAAGCGAATAACTGAAATCCAAAACAAGTTAGCGAAAGCAATTTAATTAAATAAATCACTTACACCACTTCTATCTTCCACTTCTTGCACTTGTACTGAGAACTTTGCGCGACACAATTTGTTGGTATAAAACGTTGCGATCACTGTATCTTTTATTATCCCTTCAAACAATTTATGGTGAATTGTAGCCACACCAGCTTTGGGTCGATAAATGCATTCAACGTAAGCATTTTCACCATTCATATGTTGAAGTTTGCACTCCATAGGACCAGAACATGCCGCCACAACACATGTCATACCTTCACATTTAAATAAAAATAAATATTTGTTTACATTTCTTTTAATATCTTAGAGATTTAATTTACCTTGTGAATATGTAACAGAACTATCACTATTCGAGAGTGTGTATGCTTCACATTTCATAGGCCGCAATTTTAAATCTTTTGTAATAGTTAAACCATTTGTATCTGATATTAAGGAATCCATTTTATAGACTTATTTTTCTCGTTATAGTTTGTTTATTATTGCAGTTTAGAAAGACGGACGTTGAAATGTGCGGTTTGCATGCTGCCGGTTTGACGTTAGCAGAAATGTCAAACAGCTATTAAATGTAGGGTTGCCAATATTACGCAATAAATAATAATTTTAATTTATTAAAACAAATAATTTTAAATTAATTATTACTTTTAGTCAACATGATGAGCATAAAGCCGATGGGAATGTGCGGAAAAAATAACAAATCCCTTATTAAAGTATCTTTCAGACATTTCCATCACTGTTGCAATCTGTCAAATGTCATGTTTCCGTAAAGAGCAAATCTAACACAAATGCATATAATGCAAGCAAACTACATTGTGTATAAATACAAATAAGCCCATGTGTGAGTTCGAGTAAATTGTTGGTAAATTGAGGCAAATAGTAAATTATGTCGACATGGCAGCGAATGTTGGTATGTACGAGAATTTCGAATAGGGTAAATTAGATAAAAATTAAAGAAGTTAAGTGTTACCTTGTTAAAAATTTTGTGAATTTGAAACTTTTAACCAAAAATAATAAATAAGTGCAATAAAAAAATATTTACATAAATGCAGTGCAAAAAATTTCTAGGAAATTTCAGTTTACTTTAACTCGCGCACGGCCTAAGTATATATTACCAAGAATGGTAGAAAAGAATGATGATGAACTGTATTCCATAATTCCTGCTTATAACATTTTCAATATATAGAATAACACAAGCAGTTGCGGTGAAAACTGCTGATGTTTATGATATTATATCGTTCCGCATCGATACCTGATTTAGAACAATTGACTGGACGATATAAGAAGTCCAAAGAAATGTCGGATATACAAATGCGGCAAGATATATATATTAAACGTGTAGTATGAGTATCTTATCATGCTTTACCGGTACCATGATCATATCGTTAATACACACCCCCCATAGCATTAACATACATTTCAAAATGTCAAACGAAATTTATGAATAAAAGATCCATGACGTCACGTTACACATCGTTGTTTTTTTTTACTGTAAAGCTTGTCGTGCTTTTGTTGTGTGCTGGGCCATTGCTTAAGCTAAAAGTTTTACAAGTTGGCAGCACTACTTTTGCAACAAAAGTATTTTTTAATACTTTTTAAAGTAAATAAGTAAATACTGGAAGTAAAAATATGACGTACCTATTAAGTTCCAAATAGAAATAAAATAACTATTGTTTGGTGAAGTAAGAAAATGTCAGATCCTTGGCTGAGCGATAATAAGCTTAAAAATAACGAACAAGACAACGAGCTGAGCAACGAAGCTCCGGAAACAGAAGCAACGACAGCATCTTTGGAATTCGAAGATAATTTTACAACTATATCTTCTGCTTCCGCTAACAACACAAACAACAATTCTAACGGTACTAAGTCTAAGAATCATCAGCCGCTACCGGATTCCGATAGTTACTTACGTGGTTTAGGTAAATAGAGTAGCCATAATTTTTTTCATCTAAATTAAAAAAAAAAATATTTAATTGACAGAACGTAAACTTGAAAAAATTAAAAAAGATTCAAAACTTGTGAAGGCGTTAGCAGAAAAGCGAGAAGATTGCTTAAGGACTCTGCTGACAGACGATTTTCCCGCAAGTACACAGAACTATGACATATTAGAATTGGATACACCAGTGAGTGGTGCTGAGTCTACAGTGCAAGAGATTTGCCGACATATACAGCCTGTGCAGCCGATTACGATTGGCGAAACAGTAAATATTGTTAAATACGATCAATTGGAAGACGAAAGCAAGGAAACGGACGGACGAGCAAGTCGTTAAAAACAACATACCACTAAAATATTTATAGAGGATTCAGTATGGACACACAATTTGGGAAATTATTTTTATTTTTAACGGATTTGGCTTATAAGAGCCGCTTGACGATACCAGTACTGATTACTTCAGCTTTTCTTGTGCTTGACATACGTTTGCAAATAGAAATCAATGTACAAACGGGGCAAATTGTACGTATACTTATAAAAATTATTCATTTATGTGTTTCAAATATATTACTTTTGGTACAGGCTGAAGTCGAGGAGAGCGAGGAAGAAGATTTGGACGTACAAGATGGCTACAGTTCTGATGAAGAGGACATTGCTAATTTGTACGTTTGATTATTTTAGAGAAGTTTTTGTTGTTTAATGTTATCGCTTTTTTTAATATTTATATATTTTTTGTCAGTTTCTGAAATTAAAAAAACAACACATATAATGTATGGTATGATTTCCTTTCCAAAAAGGAAGTACTTATTTAACGAATATGTTTTATTTTTCAAGAATTTATATTTTTTTTTTTATTATCACTTTATTATAAGCAAAACTAAATGCACTTTATTTACTTTTCACAAACAGAAATAGTCTCGATGCAAATACAACTTCGCATTGATGCTTTAAATTAATTATATTAGTTGGTTCGGAGTCACAGAGAAAAGGATTTCGTATTTCGTAAACGAAATTTATTATTGTCAATTCAATTGAGTTACGTACAAGTTAAACACAGTATAATTAATATAAACATATATTTGAAATTGAATATATAAAATATAGTATATATTAATAATTACGTGTGAATTTAAATATATAAAATATTTAGCTCCCATATTAGTGTTATTATCGCACAGAAAGAAGTACTAACAAGAAATGTAAACCGTTGATATTAAAACAATAAATGATATAATTAATTAAATTGAAAATCAACAAAAATTTACTTTCACTTTTATAAATTTTATGGTCAAATTTCATATAAGAAGGGAATCATTGTCTCTACATATACAGTTTTATCAATTCATCGCTCACAGCAGAAGGTGTTAGTATGCCTAAATCAGTAAACAGTAATGTTATATACGCGGGTGGTGTATAGTCCACCTGTGGATGAATTTTCGAAACATCGCTTAAGTCCTTACGTGAATACTGAAAGCAAAAGTAATAAGAATTGAATTGATAATAAAGAGTCAGTAACACATCGAAGCATACCTTATATTCGTTAGGTAAATCTCTTTGATTAAGAGGATATAAACGTGTAAACTTGAAACTTTCCGCGAGTACATAGAAAGGTCTTTTCATTTCGCGCGCACACAGACCCATAGTAAACGAGCCTATACGATTTATAATACCACCACTCTCAACAACCGCTTCAGCGCCTACCATTACAAAATCAACAGATTCCATAACGTAACCAATTGCTGAGTCCAAAATGAGTGTTGAATCAATACCTGCGTTTTCTAAATCAGCGACCATTTGCTCACTATTTTAAAAAATGCATAAATTATGATATTTCAAAATAGTTATAGTTTTTAGAAATATTGAATATTACCCTGGATTATCAGGTCCACCTTGTGTCACATAAACATGGAATTCCTTGTTGGCTTTTGCAGCACTGATCAGTGTTTTAAGCACAACACGTGAACGCGAGTGCGTCAGCACACGACAACCATCCGTAATGAACTGTTGCGCTTGTTGTGCAATAACATTACGCGAATTTAACAATTTTGCTAAGAATATTTTTCCACGATGTAACATAATTTGCCGACATTCCTCCATATGTTTATCGTCCAAACTTAATGTAATGAAACGGCAGAACAGCTCACCGCCAGACACTACAGCCGCAATGGACAAATCTGTATTACGCATGGCTGCCACAGCCTCTCGCATGGTAGTGTGTAGAATATGTATAGTGCCAACTATTATATTTACAATTATTATAAAATTAATATGTATTATATATTCAACATACATTGTTTTTTCTCAAGTATCATTAGCAACGTTTTAATAGCTGCTATACCAGATGACAGATCCTTATCCTCTTCCAGCAATTTTAGGAAGTACTTAACGACATCTAAAATTTCATCAGATTTTATTTCAAAATATTTTTTAAAATTTCTGAATAAATTCAATTAAATAATATTACCGAAGTCCACAACTTTATTTGAATCCTGCGGCATCTTAAACTGCGATAATCAAATCAACCTAACAACACATCTATTTCTTAACCAAAAATGTAGGAAAAGTCAGCTGTGTTCAATGTTTATGAAGTGGAAAAACAGTGTTGCCATATTATATCAAACATTAAAATATAACTGCATGTATTTCTTAAAGTTTGTTTATTTATTGTTTTTAGGCCTTTTCTTTTGTAAGCATGTCGCAAAAGAACAAATAAAATAAGTACTACTTTAGATGGCAACTCTGGACAAAACGGAAAATTTGTTAGGCTTACATATGCAAAACGTGTAAAATTTCAAAAATGAATAATAATTCTTTATAATTATTGGTAAGAACATTTATCTTTTTACATTATAATTAAAATATGAATTTTCATTCCTTTTAACAGTAAAATAATAAATAAAAAAAATAATGTATTTGTTACAAACAATGATAACACGAAATACAAAAAATTAACAAATCATTCGTTGACAATGAACTGAAAATTTCATATGTACTTCCAAAAATCGTTCACAATAGACGAGTTTTTAGTCTTGGCAACCATACAATTTGAGTTATTAGTTAAGCGGTTTCAAAAAGGTTGGACTAAATAAACGAGCAGTGTTGTTGTTGTTGTTGTGGTTACGCTTATTGTTTTAACCAGAGTATAACGGGTACTGCTAAGTGTAATTAACAATCGCGTCTTTACTGTGCTCCAGTTTAAAATCCTTGTGACAAAAACCCCTTACACAGAGTTTACTCTTATTCAATAATTACCCAAAAAACAGCACTGAGACTGGTTGAATCATATTCATATCACTTTTAAAATACGTTAAATATTTTTATTTTTTTACATTTTTTTGTTGTGTTATGTATAATATGAAATATAAAAATTGTATACATACTATAAAAATTATATAATTTAAATAAAAGAAAACAAAATCAGTATAAGAAAGATAATAGTAATCATTTCTATCTTATGTATTTAAATTAGTTTATTTAATTATGTGTTTGAATTTTTAAATAAATAAAATGCTCACACGATTTTAACGGATGACTGGAATTTTGCAACATATTCACAATAGATTACTTTTCGAGTTTGGCTGCACTGAAACCTAAAACAAAATTTTTAGCGAGTGAACCCTTATTCAAAAGATTGTTGTTGCTTTATATGTTTTCTTTTCTTTTGTAAGTCGTGAGTATTTTTTAGCTACTTTGAAACAAAAAATTTTAATTTGCTAATGTTAATTGGTTAAGTAATGAAATACAATGCGTATATATAAATAAATAAAATTTGGTTTTCTTATAAGCAACACATGACATTAAATATGTCTGGCATCACTCACAAATTTGACATTTCTTACTGCATACAGCAACACACTACCTTCAGAGGAAAAATTTTTTAGACACCGTCTTTTTGGACTTGGTGCACAAAATTTATTTTATTTATCACAATAAATTAAATAACATCGAAAGCAATGGCATTACGTGTGCTTGGTATTTCACAAAATTTGAAAACCCTTTCGAGGACTGTCACCATTTTAAAGGTAAATAACATCCGACACAAAGTTTCTGATAAAACATAATTTTACATTTGGTAACTGAAATTTTCATATGAAATTACGTAATTGAAAAGAAATAAGCAGTTGAAAATTAATGATATACGAATTATATAAAGAGAATATAACTGATTCTTATTAACGACTGATATTTATTTAATTGGTATTTTAAATTATTGTGAAACTATTTAAAACTTCCAAGTACAAACCTCGTTTGAGGTTATGTGCTTATAAAACACTTTAAAATTACTAATTATCCATATATTTTGTTTAAATAATAGCGTTTCAAAGCTAGTGATGCTGCTTTAAAAAAAACTCTTCTCAATATACCAGCCACGCAAGTAACAGCATTGAATAATGGTTTACGCGTTGCTAGCGAAGATTCTGGTGCGTCTACCGCGACTGTAGGTCTCTGGATCGATGCTGGTTCTCGCTCCGAAACTAGTCAAAACAATGGTGTAGCTCATTTTCTCGAGCATATGGCCTTCAAGGTAAGTTAATAGTATTAACTTTTTTTAAAAATATTTATTAAAAAATAATAATTATTAGGGCACAGCTAAACGCTCTCAAACCGATTTGGAGTTGGAAGTCGAAAATATGGGCGCACACCTAAACGCCTACACTTCTCGCGAGCAAACTGTTTTCTATGCCAAATGCTTATCAAAAGATGTACCAAAAGCTGTTGAGATTTTAGCAGATATTATTCAAAATTCCAAATTAGGCGAGTCCGAAATTGAACGTGAACGATCAGTTATTTTACGTGAAATGCAAGAAGTCGAGAGCAATCTTCAGGAAGTTGTATTCGATCATTTACATGCCACTGCCTATCAAGGAACCCCATTAGGTCAAACTATTTTGGGACCCACAAAGAATATTAAGTAAATCATTTAATATATTTAATTGTGTTTTTTTGGAATACATGTATGACTTTATTAGATGCATTGGAAAGAATGATCTTTCAAACTACATTAATACCCATTACAAGGCCTCTCGTATTGTACTTGCTGGAGCTGGTGGTGTCAAACACGAAGAATTAGTCAAACTAGCTGATCAGAATTTAGGAAAATTGGAAAATACTTTCGACGGCAAAATGCCTGAGGTTACATCTTGCCGGTTTACTGGTTCCGAAGTGCGTGTACGTGATGATACTTTGCCATTAGCTCATGTGGCTATTGCTGTAGAAGGTTGTGGCTGGACTGACCAAGATAATATTCCATTGATGGTTGCTAATACATTAATTGGCGCATGGGATCGTTCACAAGGTGGTGGTGTTAACAACGCTTCGAATTTAGCACGTGCCAGCGCCGAAGACAGTAAGTAAATAAAATATTGATTCTAAAATGTTCCCTAACACTCTTAAATATTAGGCTTATATTACTAGTGTAATTCTTTCATTAAATATTTCAGATTTATGTCACAGCTTCCAATCTTTCAATACTTGCTACAAGGATACTGGCTTATGGGGTATTTACTTTGTCTGCGATCCTTTGCAATGCGAGGTAAAGTGATACTTAAAAATTTAAGTTACAATACTTACAGTATTTGTTCTTATAGGATATGCTTTTCAACGTACAAACAGAGTGGATGCGTCTCTGCACTATGGTAACTGATGCTGAAGTTGAACGTGCAAAGAATTTGTTGAAGACTAACATGCTTTTACAACTCGATGGTACCACACCAATTTGTGAAGACATTGGCCGCCAGATGCTCTGCTATAATCGTCGCATACCATTGCACGAACTTGAACACCGTATTGATGAGGTGACCGTACAAAATGTACGTGATGTAGCTATGAAATACATTTACGATAGATGTCCAGCTGTCGCTTCAGTTGGTCCAGTAGAAAATTTGCCCGACTATAACAGAATTCGTTCATCAATGTACTGGTTAAGAGTTTAAGATTGGCGCTCGCTTAAATATAGTCTAACTAAATAAAAATTATCAATAATTAAATTTCTAAACAAAACTCAGCAAAATTTCAATTTCAAACCACTGCAAATTAGATACAAAAGGATTCAAGGACTATACAATAAACAAAATTTACAATGTTGATTAAACTATATTCAATTTTATTAATTATAAAATATTAAAAATAGTAGTACAAAAGAAAAAGTAAACCTAATATTGTTCATTCAATCGTGTGTATACTTAATTGGTATACCGCTCAGCCCTTTTTGTAATTTCGCTGGTTCAGTACAGCCCAATGCAGGCTCCAAGCCCTTCCATGTGCGATCTTCATAAGTTAATCCAACATTTGTAGTCATAACTTCCATTTTGCCTTGTGTAACCAAAGCTTGTTGTTGTGCGCTTAGAGCGTTTGTGTTTGCCAACTCCACGCTATCATCAATTGTGGCATGTCGCAGCCGACCACTTACTAAACTAACATCTTGTCTGGCAATATTTTCCTTATTAAATGCGATAAAGTTACTACCTTCTGGGAGGAGTTCGGTAAAATCAGTTACATAAGCTTCTGGATACTTCATATGCCATGCAGGATTTAATGCCATTTCTGCTTCGAATACAGAAACGACTGGTTTATAAAATTCTTTGGAATTATATATGTTATTGAAGGGACAACCAATTAACACGAAACAATCTATCTCCAAGAAATTTGCCAATTTTGCTGGATTAATGCGTCCAACCGATATCAATTGTGTCTTAACGCCCCTACTCTTTGCCATCTCTTGTAGTCGCGATATGACGTCCAAGTATCCGCTAGCAGTGAGTGTGCCTACAACAAGTCCCAATGTTTGTGCATCCTTACATTTCTCAATGTAGTAATAACGACGTCTTATGTAGTTCGCAGTCAGAGGATTCTTTTCGTTTAGAGTATTTGTTAATGGATTAAAAATGAACCACTGTTGAGCTGCAAAATGTATGTTTAAAAAAATTAAATTTTAATATTTCAAGACATTAAAAATACTAATATATGTAAATAAAAAAGATATTAAATGACTTTGCTACTATTTTAAACCCCAACCGTTGGAACGATATGATCAACAAAATACTGTATTTTTCCCCAACACAGATTGCCTTAAGATAAATTTGTAATCATTTTAAAAAATTGAAGATTTACCTTTCTTTGTTAATGACAAATTAAAGAATCTGCTATTATCTTCTCCAACAAACACACATATTTGCTCATCATTACATAATATTTGATCTTTTTCCTCCACTGCAGGATAAGCCACAATATGAACATCTTTGCATTGGAGCGTTTCCTTTAAATTCTCTAACGAAGAAAAAATATTTAATAAATATAAAAAACATACTTTATATTAACAAGATTACTACTTAAAGAAGCCGTTTCCATATCGGTCAAGTCATTTTCTAGCAAATGGTGGTAGCCAATATCTAAATAGACGATCAAGACCTTGTCTTTGCTATTATCTTTTAGCATTGACATCTTTTCAAATAGTTGTTGCAGGTCAATTGGTAATTCAGGAAACATGTACAACACAGGCAAACGAGATACTTTACTCCGGCAGGCATTTCCAAAATGTATTAAGCTGTCGCTATCAATGTGCGCTGCAGCAATCTAAAAACCAAAATTCAATACTTTAATAAAAACTCAACATTTGTTGTATATAAAATTATTCTATCCAAGTAATATTATCATCATCCTTAGACTACGCAATATTACCTCATCTACACAGCAACTGCCATAAGAAGTGTCAGCGAGTATAAAGAAGTTGATGCCAGGTAACACTTGCTTTAACTTATCGCAAATAGCATTGCTGTGTGGTAGATAAGCGTCCGGAAATTGTAAACAAACCTAAAAGAAAAATCACTTTTAATAAAATATTTTATAATAAACTTGATATAAACTAACTCTTTGATAGGCATTCTGACGAATCCAATCCACTGCAGTCTTTTGGTGCTTATCGTTCCACATTTGTTCTTGCGTTACGGTGGGTTCATCTGTCAATTCGGTTTCGCGTTCCAAAGCAGCGGTATCTGAACTTGAAAATGTATTCGATGTTGTCATATTTTAAACTTAAACACTTATTTATATTTTACTTTAAACTCTTTAATATTTTATCATACGCTGTTTTGCTTCTATGTTCGCACCAAAGAATAATTGCTCATGTATTCTTTGACTTGCACGTACACCAATGCAGTGTTGCCATATTGTTGACTAATAAATGAAGTTTAAACATGTAATTAGTCATATTTTTGTAGTTTAATATAGCATTTTCATTGACCTCAAATGACTGATTTGAATCAAAAATCATAGATGAGAAGTAAATTACTGATTTCTGCATACAAAATCTCATATGCGCAAATGAATTCCATTTGCTGATTTTGTACAAATGAGTTCCAAATACGTTCCATATGCATTTGAATACAATGAACATACCCTAAATAAAAACTTTTAATGGCATAAAACAGTTTGAGAAAGCTGTTTTTGACATATTTACAAAAAAATAGGAAAACAAATATTTGGTGGTTGCATTTCCTTGAAAATGATACATTTCTTATTGGAACTTGTACTTCCCAAAAATTATTTTATCGAAGTTAGAAACAAGTTTATATTATATAAAGTTTATATTATGAAGTTTGAAGGTATATTTTATTCAACATTTTTTCGGCATAGGCTAAAAATCAAATCAATACGCAAATTGATAAATCAGAGTGATTTGAAATGAGGTATTTGCTGCCAGTTTAAATGCTATATAATATGTAATATACAATCGTGGTTACAACAACTCCTTGCACGCTCTTAAAAATAATTTTAAAAATCATTTTAAAGTAGATATTAAGACTTACTTAAATATAGCAAATATATATATTTAATGCACATATTTAATAAAAAATTCTTTTCATAATTAATTTTAAGAATGGCAACGCTGCCCACCTTTTCGCTATTGACATTTCGCAATTTTAGCACAAAACATTATTGAGATTAACTAGAGTAAAGGCATTCCAAAATAATTGTTTGTAATACATTGTAGCACTTTTTTGTATGATTCTGTATTATAATATTCTTTATTAATTTTCAAGTAAGAAATTAAGACTAGTTTTTATAATGTGTGTTCTAACAAAATATGTTTTAAATATTTAAGCAACAAAATGGAAGGCGCACGCGAAGAGAGTCACTTTGTCGTGGATGATGTAAGCAAAATTATAAAAGAAGCTATAGAAAACACCATCGGCGGTAATGCGTACCAACATGATAAGGTAAACAATTGGACTGGCCAAGTGGTAGAAAATTGTCTCAGTGTTTTGACCAAGGAACAAAAGCCATATAAATACATCGTAACATCGATGATTATGCAGAAGAACGGCGCTGGCTTACATACGGCAAGCTCCTGTTTTTGGAATAACGATACTGACGGCAGTTGCACTGTACGCTGGGAAAATAAAACAATGTATTGCATTGTTTCAGTTTTCGGTTTGGCTGTCTAAAGTTTCCAATACAATAAATACATATTCAACAGAACAACGGGGAGGGATGGCGAGACTATAGGTATATCGGTTAGAATGTTTAAAATTAATTGAAGATTTGAGTTTTATTTTCGTACTTCTTATTTAAAAAATATTATGAAAAGTTTACAATATATTGTTTTTAAGTAAATTGAAATTGTTACTAAAGTATTTTTTTTAATGTTTTCATTTGAATTTATTATTATCTCGTTTTTTTGCTATATGAAATTTTGGTTAATAATATATTTTGTATTTTCAATGTTATAAATCTCGACGTAAAGCGTTTTAAATACTAAATTTGCGGTTTAGTTAAAGCTCTAAATGAATAAATGTTAAATAAAGTATGAATAAATTGAAATGTATTTTTGTAACTAAATAATTAGTCAAGATATCAAGCTTATTTAACAATTAATTAAACAATAACTACATTCTATAGCTTACTAAATTTAAATCAATAAAGTAATTAACATAATAAAAGCATAATTCTCTTGTTGATTTATACACATTTTTCAGGTAAGGCGTAATGAATCATACGAACTTGTTTGTTTCATTCATGTATGTATGTGTATGTGTGTGTGTGTATGTGTGGCGTCGTATCTTTTCTTTATTGACAAAATAATTTATTTTTGCTATAGCAACAAAATTCTAATTTACTTTTTATTTAAATTATATTGATTTTTATACATTTTTATAGTTTTATTTTAAATGCATTACACATCAAAAATAATTAAGTTTTTATATTGAAGACGAAGACCACTGAATATTCTATAGATTTTAGTTTCAATTATTGTTTATTATACGACGCCGCTAAAAACTACATTTTACCAATATTAAATCATATAAAAATTTTTTTTTTTCTTTTAAATTTATAAATAAAATAATATTAGATATTATTTATAGTTTCCCTCATGACCGCTTTGGTTAGATTCGAACTTCATTAGGATTCGTAATGCTAGTGAATAAAATACTTTAACTCAGGACAATTATTTAAATTTATTAAGAGGTAACTTATCACATTTTTCAATTCAGTAAATAATTCGTTAAAGAAATATATGCTCATTTTTAATTGCTATTGCAAAGTTCAAATTTGATTTTGATTCATAGTGTGAACTAACAAAGTGTTGATTAATTATTAAAAACTATTTTATTATAATTTAATAAAAATATCAACAACTATTCAAATATTTATGTTCACTTGAACACTTTTATTTTATAGAATTAAAATTAAATTATTTACAGTCAAAACATTTTAACAATATTTCTTATAACGATTTTCTCTTTCTAGTTTTAAGTTCAGGCATATTCTTTGGTAAATACAGGCAAAGACGATCCGATCCAACTTTAACGCGTGCATTGACTAAATGTGCCAATTTGACTATCTTTGCTTTAGGTACACAAAGATCCTGCAGAAGAATTTTCATATCCACCTCATATTTTTCGCTTGTTAATAATGCTAATACAATATAATAACAAATGGATTTCTCTGTACCCAGAACGGTGCGTAAGCTAATTAGGTAAAAACAAATTAAGTTTATTTAATAATTTTAAAAAATACTCTATACTTACAAAGATGTACCATTTGGATTTACGAAATTAGAACGCACATGATTTTCCACTTTTTCACTAATTTGTGATAATTCAACATTCTTCATACTGCGTGCACGCGATTTTATAAAATTTAGCAAACAATCCATATACACCAATAATTTTATGTGCAATATACTTTGATTTGAAATTGGCGATTCCTTTAGCTTCTTTACAAGATTAAGTATATACACTGAATTGATACTATAATAAAAAAATATACATAATTATAATACTGTACAACATTAAAATTTACTTCAACATACGGTAAATCTGAAACATCAGCATCAAATACGGCCTTCGCTTCATCTTCCAAACGTTCAAGCAATTCCTCTGGTACTACATCGTGTACATCGTAAATTTGTTCCTGTTTTGTTGCTTCTGCATTAAATTTAGGCCGTATTATGTCGTACTGTGTAACTAACACATTACTGGTGCTATCATTTGGATCATCTTGCTCAATCTTAGAGTCATTGACTGTCGCATCCAAATCATCTTTTACCATGTCAATATTTACTTTCATATTTTCGCGGCTGGTCACAAAACGCGATGCCTTACGCCCACCGAATTCTTTTAACATATGCAGTCTACTTACTTCTGCCGGAAGTTGTGCTATACGTTTACGCTCCAATTCATTGTAGACTTGATTGTTGACCATCGCCTGCTTAATGGGTATGAGCCGCATCTAAACTGCAACTTTTAGCTAATTTTGAGATATCTATTTAAGTAACGCTTACTTTGTTAGTTTCTTTGTTTCGTATGCATATAAAATTTTGCATGTGTTCATTTTCGGTGAATGGTCCATGGTACACATCATCATTAACCTTCACCATAACACCTTTTGTGTTATCCTTATATTTAATTGCATGAAATTGCATTTTGTCTTCATTAACTTCCTTCAGCTCACCATTCTGAAAGTTTACTTTTGTAAACAAATGCCGGATTAGCATACATTGGGGACTGTATATAAAACAAAGGCTCACCTAAGGTTGGTAAAGTTGATTCATTTGCTTCCACAATTTCATCAATTATTACTTTTTCTTTCATCTTAATTATTTATTTATTAAAGGAAAATAAACTATATAAACACTAGCACGTGTGGTTAATATATTTGGGATTGAATGTGTGTGTGTGTGTTCTGAAAACTGTTCAGTGTTGGAGTAACAGAGTTGCATTTCATTAAACCGTTTCGTTCATATACAGTGTGGTGAACAAACTACGATGGTTAACTATATATATGCATATATATATATTAATAACAAATAATAGTTTTTGTAATTTACTATTATTATTATTATGAATCATAGATGTGTTACGCTTTACTATTGTTGTTATAGCACGTGTGGTTGATATATTTGGAATTTAATGTGTGTTTTAAATTCTATGCGGAGCTACTAAGTTCGGGGTGATAGCGTTGCATTTTATTAAACCAATACAATACAGTAGTCAAATACGTATATATATTAATATATAAAATTATGTAATTATAATTTTTGTATTTTATTTTTATATTATTACTATTATATTTTTAAACATTATTTTTTATTTATTTTCTTCAGAAATGTGTAATTTCATATTTTTTACTTACACATTTTACGTTAAATTTAACATAAAACATTATATAAAAAAGTTTTTCTACTAATTTTTAACATTGCATAAAATTTTTTTAAAATTCAGCCTTAATGCGATTTTTAGTGTACACAATTTCGATAATTACAGAGTGTAAAATACTTTCATTTATGCTTCATGTAATATGTATGTTATTTGGTGATTAAGCTATTTAAAATAATATGTTTGTTTATAATACATATTTCCTTATAAATTTATATATATGTATAACATATTTAAAAACCGAAAAAGCAGTGGAAAACTTTTTTTAGAGTATGATAATCAGAAAAAAAATATATATACAACTAATAATGCAGATTAAAGAATACCTTATCAAAGGTATAATCAGTTAGACACTCTTTTAATACTTCCACTTTACAAATACGCTATATCTCAGCTTCTGCTTTCTGCTTCACTATAATCACTTTTGATGGTTTTCAAAAACTTATTTCTACATAGTTTTTAATTTTTGGATTTAGTATCACTCAAGATAAGAACGGTTTTTTTATGTCATATTACTTAATTAAATCCACAGTGAAAACAATATTTTAAACTACATTTTATTAAAAATATTTCACTATAATTAACATTAGTAAATAAAATAATTTAAAAGTTTACAGTAGTTGTTTTTCCCAATATATCACTTGTAATTCCGTAACCAGTAAAATTGTAATGTTTACTCTTTACGATGTGAACAACTCGCTGAAAAAGAAAATAAATGTTTTGTTGATTATTGACATTATCTATTTCATTTAATATGTTTTATAAAAATATATATATATATTTCAATTATTTACCAACACAAGCTTTATTAAGAAAACGGCAAACGTTAGAAAACTGATGCTAATTAAAGACGCTTCAGGTGGGAACTCCAAATTGGATTCCTCTAGTATCCCACGCTTGCGTCTTAAATATACTTTCGGTTGCCACAATAATGAAAATTTTTTTTCTGTTAGAGAAATAGTAAACAAATCATATATTTTTATTTAATTATTACTTTAATTACTGACTAATTCAAAATAAGTAGGTATATAATAAAATATACTCGTTAGTATATAATAAAAAAGCAAGAGCTAAGGAACCAGAACCACACATAATAAGTAGGCATTGTATCATAGAAACGACGGACAAAATTTCCTTTATTCCTAAAAATTTCTAAAGAATCTTGTACAGAACTCTGGTATGTCCTTAGTATACCCTAGTCTTGAAAAGTGTCGAAAAAGCTCGTTACAACGTTTGTATAAACATATTTAACGTTAAAATATTTATTGCAATGTAATTTAAAAAATGTAAATTTATTGAGAGGCTGTAAGTAATATGTATGTATATTATAGTCACTTTATTGCTTTCAATATAATGTCGAATTAATAATAATTCGAAAAGTATGTCAAATGCGAAAAATACAAAGTTAAATTTTTTCTGTTATATATATTTAATTGCACTTAGCAATAAGAAAGATTCTAATCAAAAACACAAAGATAAATTAAAATCAATATTTATATTAAAAAGATCTACACAATTTGTGGATATAAAAGTAAACCATTTATAGTAAGAGCTATTCCAACTTCATGAGAATTATAAGAAAAATACTATTGTCCGACAAAGAGCTACTAATCACAAACAAAGCACTAATTGTAGTTGAATTTAGATACTGTTCACGAGTATAATTGTTAATTAATATTGTTCCGAAAATGATTACTATTTAATTATTAAAGAGCACCACAACTTTAACTAAATAACATATATTAAAATTATTTACACAATTCAGGGAAATAAAAGTAAATAGTTGATGTTAACGTTTATTTGAACTTGATGACAATTATAAGATATATATTACATATATTATTGAGTATGAAGTCCCATTCCATTATTGGCAGTAAAATAATATATTGTATTATGTGTCTATATACATTTATTGATCTTTTATATAGAAATAAATATATATTTTTGTGGTTTTTCACATTAATTTTGCAGAGTCAAATAAAATTCTATATATATCTAATTTATGATATTTAAATACTTACCAATTATATGCATTAAACTATCTCTCAGATTTTTGAGTAAATTTATTTTTTGTTTAATAGTAAAAGCTGATTTCCTTATCCAAGTTGTTCGCAACGAAGTGAGAAACTTTATAAATCCATTAATTGATGGATATTGTATTCCATTATTATTATGTATAGAGCCACCATTTTCATTGGAATTTTCTTCATTATTTTCAGTTTCATCATCAAATTCGTAATCGTTATTCATGTCTTGCCTGGAAGTAGTCTCCACTTTTTGTTTTACTGGTTTGGCGGGACTTGTGTTATTGACTGAGCTTTGGTTAGTCGATATCGATGGAGAATTACCATACCTCTCATGCTGATAAGCAACCCAAGCGGGACTTGGCGTATTTGTATCAAACCCTTTATCTCCGTTTTGATTTATGTTTTTTTGACTATTCTTTTGTGGTAATGATTTCTGATCCACATTTACCCATTCTGTACGACTTAAACTAAATAGTTTTATTAAAAGTATTAAGTGCAGAAGAACTGACATTATCGTACTGCAATCACAATCGATACTAAATGCGAGGAACTGAGTAGGAAATTTTGTAACTATCAACTTTCTTTAATTGAACCGAATAAACTGCATTTCTTGAATTTACGCTATTTTAGTTTTTGAGTTAATAATTTATTTATTTGCTGTAAGTAAAATTGTATGTGTCGAAAGTAAATGCACTCAAAAGTTGTTAGAATTTCGTTTAATTGTGGGTTCCACTGAGATTAGGTTTTCTTCTCTTTGACAGTAATTGGTGCATTTACGGTCTGTTTCATATTAATTTGTTTTTTTATTTAGAAAAAGTGTAAGTTACATTTTTAAGCACAATTTTAAACACAAAATTAATTATTTGTTTTTTCAAGTATAAACTTAGATTATTTATAGTAGGGTTGAGAAACCCAACTCACTATGCAAGATCATTAGTAACTTTGGCAGTTACAAAATCGTCAGAAATTAAAAACCTAAAAGGCTACATTTAATTGAAACAATTAAATAAAAAATAATTAAAAAAAAATAAATAAAAAGTGTTTAGTTGCTACAAAAGCGAAAAAAATTACAAATGGATAGTTCAGATAGGAGGCCTTGCCAGAGCGCTGATTATTCCATATAGAAAATATTGAGATTGATAAAGGAAGACCGACAAGTGTGAATGTGAACACTTAGGAATATTACAATAACTTCGGTTATGTATCCAAAAGTAATCCAAAATAATTTCTATTATTTTTTTTTTGGCTAATATAAGTTAGTAGCATTCGACTTTCCAACATCACTATCTTTGTAGACATTCGGACAGCAATAAAAGCAATTATTTGCTGAACTATTAAATCGAAGATTGTGATGAAATGATTTGCCTTACAATGAACGTTTAGCATCATAATGTCTCTCTTTGTTGGGTTCTAAACATAGAGATATCAAAGTCAATAAACTAGCAAATGAGGTGACCAAAGGAAGCTCCCTGATAGATATAATCTCTAGAGTCTAGACAGACAATTTAATTCAATTTGTAATGTGTAAAGTATTAAGGAACATAGATAAATTCACTATTATGATGACGAATAGTCTATAACCTAATCGCGTCGCTAAGACCCTAAAGCCTAGATTAGAAGACCGGCAAATCTTTTGAATTTCAGTTCGCATAGTTCGTGTTCTAACCGAACACTGTGTTATTGCATCAATATTTTAACGTCGGCGCTTTTCTATAAACGGACTATGCAGAAATGGCTATTATGAGTAGAAAGTTCAATCTATCAAAGTATCAATCTATAAAGTTCAATCTAATTTTTGTCTCTGCCTGTTACTTAAGATGTAATGGTTCCAATATTTAGGAGATAATTTCTTCTCTGTTTTGTTTGGGTTAGCAAAAGTAGGCTTAAGTGATGTCTGGAACTTTATCTTGAAGACGAAATGGTTAACTGTAGAATCAAATTGGTAATAACGTTAAGTTTAGTTGGTTACCTCCTAACAATTTTAGGAACATCACAATTGGCATTAGCTCCCTCAGAGTGTAACTGTTAATGTTTGTATCATCATACTCCTTTTAAATGTAACCTAACCTAATCTATTATTTGTTTCGGTTACATCTTACTAAAAATAATATTAACTACGCTGTTCGAAGAACAATAACCTAAGAAAACTCTTTCTATGTATCTTTTCTACCTTTTTCACACATATGAAACTTTAAAGTCTGACGCAGTCTTCTAAAGATGACTACAATTTGAAGGTTCTAAAATGCTTAGAGTCCAACTATGGATCGACCACATGAGAAATATGTGTTATACAAGTATTTAAACGACATTTGAAGGAAAAATATGAATAATAAATGTGGCAGAAAATCCAAACCCTTTTTAGGTACAATATAACGTTACATTTATACTATCATAATTACCTAGACAAATATGGAGCACTTTGAATCATTTTTCATACAAAATCCAGACACAATTCAAAAAAAATTATTAAAAATGTTAGAATATTCATTATTATTTATATTTGCGGAAGGATTCCTTATGTTTAATCAGAGATACTTAACAATATAAACTATTAAAATTGATAGCATTTTAGAATACCTTGCAAATATGCGAGTGATCAACACAGAGTTATAAACTAGCTAAAGTCATCTAAACCACACTTGGGGGTTTTCACTTGAGATTCTTGATTTTAAGAGCGTTCTTAGTTCTTAGTTGGTGTTCGGAAAATATTGGTTAATATTTCTCGATAATGTTCTGATTAACGTCAACGGTGGGTAATACAATAATTGATCACTGATCTTTGGGAATAAAATTTTTTTGTATATATATATTAATATAATAATACAAAGGAAAATTTTTATATATTTGATATATTTTTATATTTATTTTAGTTCCACTTCTGAGCATTATTTTACGTATATTAATTACATATATTATATATAGATAACATATATATATATATATGTATATATATTTAAATTATAATTTTTGTTTTGGTTTATCATAAGAATTTTCTTGATTTCTTAAAGATTTATAGTTTTTTAATTATTATATAATATTATATTAAGAAAATTTAGCACAATAGTTTATTTTAAGCTAATACGAAGAGCAAAATTGTAAATACTTCTATATAATTATTTAGTTATATTTAGTTATTTCCTTGTAAATATTTTTAAATTGTGTAAATAGAACAATTCCATATGACAGCATACATACATATACAATGTTTAGGTACTTTTACAGATAATTCATTAAAATTAAAATAAAAAATTAATTAATAATTTCCATTTGATATTATTTGTATAATAAAATAGTTAACATAATATATTCGATAATTATTTGTATGCATTAAAAAATAATTACACATAAATTGTTTCACTTTTATGCATTAAAATATTTTTACAAAATAAAGTGTGTAGCGTGCGAGGGACGAAATATTGAAGAAAAATTTAAACTAAAATTGCACAAAATCTCATTTGATATTCCGACACAAGTGACCGCGCATCCATTTTAGTGCCTTATCACCGATCGCTTCTACTTTAGGTGAGCCCGGCAAACTACGGCAACCGCAGCTGTTGGACTCTGCAAGTTGATTTAAGGAGTGTCTTCTTTGTCGATGTTCAATAGCGATGGCTGCAGTTGCTAATCTTGTGGCGATCTTTCCTTCTTCTTGTTGTTGTTGGTCTATATTTTGTTTGTTTTTTTGTGCTTGAGTTTTATTCAATGTCTGCACTTTATCAGGTCACATATCGCCGGCTCCTGCCCAACGCATGTCATCCGCTTCATGTGTTAAATAGCGTGTTCCCACTTGACCTTCCAAATTACGCAGGTCCCTATAAGTTTGTTTATCCTGTAGCCAATAATGTTGCAAACTTTTGTCCACCGTGTAACGCTTTCGTTGCTTAACTTGTAACAAATTATTGATTAAATCAATCGCTGAAAATAATTGAAATGAAAAGTTTATTATTAGAAAATTCAAGTCTCCAGAACAAAAAAAAAAAAAAGCTCATACCATTTGATGAAATTTCTTTCCATGGATTTGGTGGATACATGAATGCAGCATTTTGTATCTGATCATTGATATCCTCTTCTTCGTTGAACGGAAATGTACCACTCAAGCTGACATATATAATCACGCCCACACTCCACATATCTAACGAACGATTGTAACCTTTGTTACGTAGTACCTCAGGTGCTAAAATATAAAACGAGTGTTAATGAAAGTTTAATGGAGCCTCATTGCTGGATTTTTAATATTACCTAAATAAGCGGGTGTTCCTACAACAGATCTTCTAAATGATTTCTCTCCAATAATTCTCGCATAGCCGAAATCACTATAAATAATATTCATAATTGATTATTAGAAATAGAGTAGTAAATCTATATAAATTGCTAACCATAGCTTCACTTGGGGGAATTCAGAATTCGAAGAAAGCAGTACATTCTCTGGTTTTAGATCACAATGCACAATATTTTGGCTATGCAAGTGCTTAAGTGCTATGAGTATCTGCGTTATAAGGAATTTGGTTACACGTTCACTTAAACGTCCGCGTTCATGTGAAAGTATCATTTCCAGCATATCACCTTTCAGTTTTTCCATAACAACAAAAATACGTTCTGGAGTTTCAAACATTCTTTCGAGATTCACAACACCACAATGTGAGATATTCTATAAAAAAATTAGATATTATAAGTAGCTTCACAGGATACTCATATGAACACACTCATTTAACACACCTGTAATATGGCAACTTCATTCTTAAGCTGCGCTTCCTGTTTGGTTGGGAAGCGTAGTTTGTCTATAACTTTTATGGCAACGTCACGTTTTGTCTTTTTATGCACACCTCCGTAAACAACACCAAATTGTCCAGAACCCAACACTTCATCTGGAAATATTTGGTATAATTGACCCATATCCTGCACATTTTCCTCAGATTCGCAGCATTCTATTATTAATAAGATATACATATAAAATCCACTCTCCATCAATATTCCATTTCTACTTACGCGTATTAGTCACATGCATATAAGCTTGCTTTATGCTTGTCTCCCAACTCTTTGCTATATCTGTACCAATGCCACTATCGGGTGGTGGCAAGCGTACAGGCTGCTCTTCACGCATACCCACCAAAGGGTCTTGTCCCACATAATAACTCACAGATGCCGTACGTATTTCGAAACAGTAGTTATTATCTGTGCGGGTGTCATTATTTTGCTCTATAGCTTGTATCTCAGACAATGGAATTTCCTTATGATATTTGCTACCCTGTTCGGATAAAAACAAGGTGATAGTCTTCGAATCCAAACGCCAATAATAACGTTTGACTGTCTTATCTAGGTTAGTAAAATGTACTAACCAGCCTTCTTTGATAGCTTGACCTCCGCGTTTTTTTGTGTGCTTCACTGATTGTACAATTCTCATTAAAGGTATATTGGCACTCGGTGATGAAGAGGAGCTCGATTGCTCTGATTGCCCGTCTAATGATTGCCCTTCGCCTGCGCTACGATATGAGTTGCGATCATCATCGCTGATCAGTCCATTCAATAATTCTGGTGGTGAGTTCTTTGTGTTCGTTGTGGTCTTCGGTGCATTCGTACGTCCGGTGCCTGTTTTGTTAGATGATGTTGTTGTACCGCTGCCGTAACTGCGCGCTGAAGCTGTGGTTGAAGCTATATCACTTGATGGATTGTCATCAAAGTCACTATCATCAAATTCTTCCCGAAAGAAGTTATCGCGTTCTTTGCTGGTGTTACCATGTGTTGGTGTACTGTCTGCATAATCATTTATATGTAATTGTCTTTCGCCTGTGCAATCTTGCGGAACTTTGTCCATACACTTCTTATGTGTGTTGTACTGGCAATCGCGGCATTGTAAACCTTGCTTGAAGAGACCTTTTAACAGCTTCTTGCAAAATTGACAAACAGTCGGTATTCCATAGGTGTGTACCATGAATGTGTGCGGAATGCGTATTTTCTCGTGATAAGCTTGCGCTCCATGATGAAACGTAGCGTGATTATGTGAAATTGGGCTACAACCATTTCGACTACCCGCTGAAGGTGAGCGCTGATGGTTTCTGAAGTTTGGCACATTCTATGAGAAAAAAGAAGTTGTCAATAAGTTTAATTCATGGAAATATATCATGTAGTTATGGATTTAGTTTTTTAAGCTATTTTTATGGACAAAATAAAAATAATGTCTATTCTAGTATTGTGTTTTCATGAATAATAAAAAGGGAAATATATCTTATAATCAATTGGTGGCTACATTCTTATAAAATGCGATGTAAAAATTAATTTTAAAATACGGTTGAAGTGGGAATATAAATTAAACAATATGAAGTGCAATTGCCCACTATCGCGGATAAGGTTTCATAATCAAACTAATATCTTCTGAAGTCAAAACTATCTACATAATTCATCCAAGATAGATATATATAATGATATATATAATTAAGAGCGGATACGGTCTTTTGCACTATTTTGCACATTCGAAGTTTAAGTTATTACGTCCTGTTAGTTTCCAATTGTTCTCTAGTAGATATAAGCCCTAACGATCCCAACAGTTACTATAAATGAAGTTCTTAAAATAATATACAATCTCTCACCAATCCTTTAGTTAGTTTCTAAAATGGTGTGGTAACAAAGTTTGCTGCTTGGTTACATGAGAAAGATCTGCCTATATATAATTATATATAATACCTATAATTATTCCTATATATGTAGTTGTGGTAACAAAATATTCTATTTGCTTAAAAGTGAAACCTTTGTCGTCACTAAACAATTATAAACAAGTTCTAGTAACAAAAATATCTGAAATATCTGTTGCTTGACTTAATTTTAAGTTAAAGAGGTCTCTAGATCTGGTTTAATATGTAAGATTTGCTCCCAGATATTGAAAAAGAGTAAAAATGTGTTCATATGATCAATAAGAGCTTTTCTATGATGGAGTCTACATTTTAAAGAAATGCGTAAAGCAGAATTGCAACCAAGTACATAGGCTAACTAGCCACTTGTATGTCACTATGGAAATATCTTGATTGAGGCTTAAATAGGATAAGCATAGGTTAAGGACTAAATGCAAAAACTCTCGCATCATTTACTAAAGTAAATATTACACTGGATATAAATTGCAGTACTAAGTAATACTCAGATTTGCTGATCATTCCCATTTCTCAAGGGGTTTTAGTAAAGACACCTATTGTGAACATTTTCCGCTATATAGTATGTCAATATAGCTTAGTTTTCGAGATATCGGATTGCAATAACTAGTGAAAAGTTTTTATTAATGTAGCCAATGTAAAAACTCTGCAAATTTTAAACCACGATATTGCGAGAATCAAGTGGTACCTGCATAATATTAATATTTTTTGCCAAAAACGTGTGACTGGAAAGTCAGAGCCGCGTTCTTTAGGAAAGTGAATTCATATCAATTATAAAAAAACTTTTTATTTCATTACTTCAAGTGCAAGCTAGCAGTACTAAAACGTGTGGAATAAGTATCAAAGCCGAACACATAAAGAATTTTACTTCAACCACCTTTCTTCCTCCTTTGCTTTCTGGCTTATATAATCCTAGACTTCTAAGTAGTAAGCTTCTTTGTCTCAACTTTCTGCCCTAATTATTAAAATAAGTTTATTACCCATTCTCCACTGGGTCGGTGGTGGAAAACTTCTTTATTCATTTCTTTGGGTAGCGGATGCTTTCTATATACCTAACAAAAAAATGAAGACTTTTACAAAAACAGCCATTAAAGTTAATAAAAGTGCTGACTAACAGCAACAAAATTTTACAATTTTATACACACTGTACAAAAATTAGTAAAAATGCTAGTTTACAGCATAAAAAATGGCAAATACACCAAGAAAATTTTAATTAAAATATTTCTACAAAACATTTTATTTACTAAATTTCCAAATCTGATAGTAATGAATTTCTCCAAATCTCAGAGATACAATTGATTTCTATGGGATTATTATTCGTTATAGGAATAAGTGCAACTGAAATTTATTAATTATATCTATTCGTATATGTTTCTGGTAACTTTAAAAGTTGTTCTAAAGCATATCTACCTTTGGACAAACATTATTATTCATGATCTGGCTCTAACATTACTAACAATAAAAATTTAAATAAAATAAAATGAAACTAAAATCTTTTTAAAAAAATATTTTATTAAATAATAATATCAAATTTATTACAATAATAAAAAAAATATTTCGAATTATAATCACAAAGTTAAATAAAAAAAAAATAAAATTGTAAAACTAGTGATAAAAATTAAGTAAAAATATTACAACCAGATCTCCAATAAGAATGTTTAAATCTTAATTTGAAATTAATTTAAAATAGAAATTAAGTTGAATACTAAAATTATGCTTGAATAAAATCGTAATGAAAGCAATAAACGAGCTAATTCAGCTAAAATTAATAACAAAAAATATATAAATTTTAAGCATCTCACAATTTGCATGTCTTTATATCAGAGAGTCACTTAATTTGTGACTACTTGCTTAATTAAAAATTTAAACTACGGACATATAAAGTAATTGCCTAGTAAGTATAAAATTGAAAATTTCGAATTAAAAAATTAAAAATGTAAATGTAAATGTAAAATTTAGAAACGCAATTGGCGTAATAGAATGTCGACAATTTTAATTTTACTATCTATTCTTATGTTAATTGCTCGTAACTAGCGCTAAAATAATATTTCACTAGTGATTGTATAGACGAGTAATTGTGTAACTATAAACTAATTCCCAGCACCACTAACTCTTACATATACCATAAGTACTCATAAGCTCTCACATTCGTTATAAACTCAGTATTTTACTATTGCTACTCTAATGCAATGAGTTAATTAAAACTTCGGTTCCGAGTCCTGGCCCACCTATGCCATATCCTAAGCCTGCCTCTTAAGCCCGCCCCGCATACTAATCGTTAATTGTTAATAATATCACTCATAAGATCTGACATCCGCTTTACCAGTGAACTCCCTGAGTCATTTTTCAGTGTTTGCTGCTCTTCAGTCGAAATCAGAGATTGCGTGGAACTGCTGGAGGGACTGCGTGGTGGTTGCAGTGCCGAGGAACGCCGCGTTGTGTCATTGCAGCGATTACAGTTGTTTGGAATTTTTACAACACAACGTTTGTGATAATTTTGTCCGCACCCTGTATGAGAAACGGAGTTTATAAATATTAATCGTATTTTTTTTTCAACGAAATTATTTACCATCGCATTTTAGTCCTTGACGTACCAAACCAAATAGCATTTCACCGCAAAAATCACAGAAAGTCGGTGCTTTGTAGGAGTGCACGTTGAGTGTGTGAGGTTTGAGTGTGGGCATCTCTGACGTGGGATATAGTATGGCTGTAAATATAGTGCATATAGTTTATTCGTCATTAATTCAATTTTAAACTGCAAATTCGTTGCTGCAGTGAACTTACGATTTGCGGTCAGCACAATTTCAACTAATGTTTCATCGACCACTTCCGATGCCGAATTAATGATGTGTAAGACATTTGGGCTGCTGTAGTCATGACGAAATAGTAAAATACGCTCTGATAGGTACGTTAGTCCACTATCTGGTATCTGAAATGGTATCGGAAAGTCAGCGAAAATAAAATCTCTAATAGCATAGAAGATTTATTGTTAAACATAATAGACGACTATATGAAGAAATTTGTAATTATTTTAATCACATGTTATTTCCAATGCAAGTTAAAGTTATTTTATTCCAGTTATATTTCAAAAATTTAAGTTACTTGATTAAAATAATATTAAAATAAATTAAATTAAAAATGGTTAGGTTAATTTTTAGGTACCACAAAATAACTTATATCAAAAACAAACAAACCGTCATGTTAAGCCCACAACTGGATTTATATATATATATATATATGTATGCATGTATGTATATAAATGTTAGATAACTTCTTAAGCTTAGGCTAACTGATTCATAAAAGCATTATATATTGTTAGCATTACATACGAAAAATGATAATTCTTTCCGGCAGAATTAACAGTGATTTACTACGCAGAAAACTTGGTCCTAGGCGACAAGACACCTGATGTAAATATCGTAATCATTTTGTACAGCCAAGCTGCTATTGAATTTCTACTGAGCGTTACAGTAACATTCTTAACAATGCAAGAAGAGCGGGATTCTCTTAACCAGGTAGCTTAGCGAGTTTGTGTCTAGTCACATGGATACTTGGTCACAGGGATATCTCGGGCAAATACAGGACAGATAAATTTGCCACTCATTTTTTTGATATTGGTATCCCATTCACAACTGCTAAGCTATATATCAAACAAAAATATCTAAGTATAGCTAAACAAACTTAACATAGGCAGATGAACTCTCCTGTCAAATCTTAAGACCGACCTGGTCCAAACTGGACAAGCAACTTATTAGCTGTTTTAACTAAGGCGTTACCTGGCCAGCGTCACGGCATCGGTATTGATGCATCATTGCATATTAGGAAGATATGTTATAGTATATTTCTTAATTCCTTAGTATATTCACTTAAAATCTTAAAATCCCACCTATCTCCAATCCACTCTTGCTTCCCCTTTTCTGTCACGCTTTCTTTGCCGAACCATATTCTAATCCAAGTATACGTATTTGTAATTGCTTTCATGTTATCTGTTATATAGATCTCTATGGGTTGCCATAACAACAAAAACAAGGCATGCTATAGGGCAGGACTGTCCAGACTAGATGCAATCGCAGGCCAATATAAAACGCTATACAGATCGGAAGGCCGCAGAAACAAATACATACGTTCATAATTGTTTTCGACAAATAAAAAAATACGGTTATGATATTAAATTTAGTTTTATAAATTAATCAATATAAATTTATTTATTTGGTATACTATAAAAACAAAATAATATGGTTTTACCAGAACACCAAATGAAAATTTTTCTGATTGTGGTAGATTAAAAACATTTCGCGGGGCACACAAACATTAGCCGAGGGCTGCATGTCGCTTGCGGGCCGTATTTTGGACAGCCCTACTATAGGGTATACCCTATAATGAGTTCTGTGGCGCTGCGGATGAGAACGACACTGTACTCCACCCTATATATTAGTGTCTATCATTAGCTAAGACAGGATTCAATGGAGGATTTAAAATACGAATGAATGACCCTTTTCATCCTCTGTCATCCTTTAAAATTAGGAACATATTCAAGTTTATAGACTTATCAACTTTAATTTGAATAGAGAAGTTGCAACATCATTAAAGATGCTATTTGTGTTCTATATGCTTCGGTTTCTACCTTTAAAGTACAACTTTAGGTTTCTTATACGGACTGTGTGTCCGTATCCATCGTACCACTACAGACCATTATTTGTGTTTAAGTGAGCTTTAGAGTACAAGGTTACCACTCACAGTTAAACTAACCTGCTAGGTATACAAAAATAAAGTCATCACAAATATATATTCCAAAAGTCTTAGTGTTAGTCTAGGTATCGGAAGAGGTGTCATTAAGAATTTATGTATATGTTAAAATATATTATATTTATACAGAAATTTAATTTTTGAATTTATTTCAACCATTACCGTTTCATTATTATAATATGTTAATGTTACTAGAGATCCTTGGGGACTTAAGCATTATTAAACACATTTTGAAAAATGTATTCCTATTTTCACAGCCGCACACCGCACACTGCACACCGCTCTCTGTACACCGCACACTGTACACCGCAGAGCGTTGAAGCATTCAAGGCAATGTGTTTTCGTATGATTAATCAAATTTCTAATGTGCATTGCAATTCAACTGAAGTCCTTAAATTGTCAAGCGCGCAAACAGTGGAAATCCTCATAAAAACAACTCACAGTTGATTGCATATTTTATGGACTCTCATATTTCATGTACTTTTCGTACAAGATTAACTGCTCCATTTTGCACAACTTTTAGACAAAAACAATAAAAAACAATAAAAACAATAAAAACAACAAAAAACAAAACGATTTTTTTGCCACTTGTTGAGAGTGAATTACACAAAATTTCGACACGCATAAAAACCAATGAAATGTAGGAATTTTTTGCATAGCGGGCGCACGAAATATCACGCCCGACCATAAATAATTGAATAAAGACCATCAAATTAACTAAAAGAGCCACAAAGCATAAAATTAAAAAGGAGAAACAAAGAAAAAAACACAAAAAACATTTGAGACAAAAAGAATTAGTTAACACGCATATGGAAGCAAGCTCATCGACGTTAATTCACACACACATTTAAGCAAATGGGATCACAATAAAATTGAATAATTAATGCCATCAAATTAATTTGTGACACATACAAACATACAAACATACAAACATGTATAAATAATTGCACATTCCAACACACTTACATACATATGTGTACAGTACATTGTAAAGTTTATTGCGTACGCTGATAGGCTATCGGTAAGTGTGCATGTGACACACACACATACATACATAAATACAAATTCATTACAATTCTTCAAAAGCTTAGACAGAATAAAACTCTACAAATATTTATGCATACATAACATATAAACACAAATAAACGAGCGCTCCTGTGAGAGTTGTTGCTTTTGTTTTTGTGCTCGTCATATTGATAAATTGTATCGTATCGTATCGTATCGTATCGTATATGCGCTTACGTACTAACATTTGGCACAGACATATCGAGACAATTTGCCACCGCCACCAAAATAAAAAAAAAAAACTTGTGTAATTTAATAAATAATTCCATAAATTTGTTGTCACATTTTGTAATTTATCAGTTTACACTAATAAGAGAAAGCTAAACCCAAAAACAAAAGCAGAAACAACAACACTAGCTAGTTTCATATAGCTTCCAATTCATCATAATCATAAACGTTTTCAAACAATAATCAATGTATGTAGGTATGTGCATACTTTTCATATAATTTTTTTTCAGTGAACTATTTCATGTGCCCTCTTTTTCCCTCTTCATTGTAGTGTCATCACATTCATTTTAGTGTTAACTGAATCGACTCACCTTTGTGTTGATAAATTCGCATGCCAAATCCTTTAATGTTTTAAGCGTTAAGGCATTTACGGCCACCGAAACGGCATCACGTATGCTGCCGAATTGAAAGAGAAACGTCACTTCTGGCCTCTCCATTATGACGGGCACAGTACCTTGTCGGTTCGCCAGCGTTAAAGCTGTATTAAGACTCCTTACACTGGCAAATTTTTAGTATATCAGTCACGTAATATTTTGTAATTATTGACTGCAGCTTAACGAGTTTGCTATTTTAATTATGAATTCTTTGTTCTTGTTGTTGTTGTTATTATTATTATTACAGATGTTGTTGATGCTGTTGATGTTGTTGATGTTATTGTTCTTATTGTTATTGTTGTAGTCAAATTATGTAGCTTAAAATTGATGCTGGCAGCATTGATTAATATTTGATCTGAAAATAAAGGAAAATTTATATTAGCAAGTATTTAACAGGAATACGAATTTATTAGGACGAAATGAAGAATGATATGGTTTAGAAAGCAGACAGTCACATTATAAGCAATGATTAAACTTTGTTTATGTAGAATTAAATGTTTAATAAGAGAAAAAAAGGGACAACAAAACAAAATAAGTAGAAAAATAAGTACTAGGTATTAAGAAAAGTAGTATTAGGACGAAATAAAGGATATGGTTTAGAAAGCTGACAGTCACATTATAACCAATGATTAAACTTTATTTATGTAGCCTTAAATTTTTAATAAGAGAAAAAGGAACAACAAATGTGAAACAAAACAAAATAAGTAGTCAAAAAAAGTAGTATTAAAAAAAGTAGTATTACGACGAAATAAAGGATATAGTTTAGAAAGCTGACAGTCGCATTATAACCAATGATTAAACTTTGTTTATGTAAAATTAAATTTTTTTTAATAAGAGAAAAAAATTGACAACAGGTGTGAAACAAAACAAAAAAAGTTTTGATTAATAAACAAAATAAATAGATTTATTTTAATTAAGTATTGGGATTTATTAAATGAGTTCTAAGATCTAGAATGGAAACAGGAAAGTCTTGACAATTTAGAGTTTTATCCATTGTAGTGATCTGATTTCTTGAAAAAAAGTTGTAGATTAGGTTAGGTTATACCGGTGATCCCTATGGAATCTACTTAGGCCTATTGTGTTATTGTATATATTCTATATAGAAAAACTCATGGTTTAAAACCAACCAACAATTGGCGAAGCTAAAAATGCTATTAGGAAAAGTTAAAATTCTAAAAAAACAGAACTGACTTTACTTAAAATGTAAAGTCAGATCTTATAATTGATCAAGTTGAAAAATTTTATAACCTTTTCCAGGCTTTCAGGATGTCTGACAGATCAAAACAAAATGTGCCACAAAAATTTTAAAGCTTTTCTTAACCAATGATGGGCATTGACACATGAAATGTAGTACAGTTTCCTGCTCATCTACAGAGTCATAATTACGACAAAAGTCATTATAAGGTGGACCCAGTTTCATAGTATGTCTTTCTAGTATGCAGTGAAAGCTGTTAATACCCATACTATTGTGCTGACCAGGTTACGTCTTAGTTTAAGTAGGTGAGTGGTATGCATCTTGTCTAGTTTCAACCAGGATCTGTTTGTCTAGTTTGGATCCGACATGAGGGTTAATCTGTCAAATTTTGTTTTAAAAATAAAGATCTACTAAAACGGGATAATAATTTCATTTATATCTATATCTATGTCTACTAAAAAAAATAGAACTTTTCTAATCAGACAAAACTTAAATAACTAACTGGATATCTAATGTTCCTAATTTCAATAATAAACCTCAACCATTTCAATAATTCATAATTGTCAGATCTAACTGAATATCGTCACTGAATAAAAGATAATCAAATTTTTTAGTCTTGAATTGGCACAGTAATTTTCTGTATTGATTGCATTTTATTCAGTCCTACTGATTGACACATCATTTTTGAGTGACTTTTAATTTTAAACCTCATAAACACCCATAAATTATGTAATGTAGTTTACCTCCGCAGACATTCAATCTGCAGATTTTAGTCGTCTTTTTCGGCATTCGTGCCTTACCTCGGCAATATTTTAACTTTTATCCCGAAATGGATTCTCGGAAGACAGAAATATCTGTCGTGCTTATTTATTGATTATGAAAGCAGTTGGTCGTGAGTTTAAATATTTATATTTAGATAGATATTACCTAATGAGTTCCTAGATCATTTAATTTACTTTGCATGCATTGTGTAGTTGGCAGAAGATATTGTTAAATTACTCTAAATCCTTCAGATGCTGCAATCCATAAAATTTTTTTTAACTTTTATTAATTATTATTATTATTATTCTGTTAATATATATTAACAAAAATTTTGAATTTATTGAAGTTTCAATTCATGATAAAAAAATATAATATCTTAAAGTAGCACGAACTTTACTTTACCAAAATGAATACGTATTTCTGGACTAACAAAAATTAATAAAATTGAAAAAATGTATAAATAGATACAAAATGAAATCATCCTTTTCTCAAATACGTAAAAAATGCTCACAAGTACTTCACTAAACTAATATAAAAGTTTACTCTGCACAAATTTACGTGACCTGCTCTTATCAATAACTTTTTTAATTTTCTTCATTTGGAGGAAGCACGTGTTGCAGCTTAGATACTTTTCGCACCAAACCGAAACAAATGTGCTTTCCTGCAATTTTCTTCTTCCATTGATTAAATTATTTTTTTCTTTAAATTTATTTGTAATATTGCATTTCTTTTAGTTGTAAAATGTTGCCGGAATACCAATGAAGTGGAACGCTGAACTTATTGTCTCTGAGATGAGAAGATTAGTTTTAATGCCACAACTGTAGACAGGCAATACGTTTTGAGTGAAACGAATTTTAATAAAAAAAATAAATTTATTTAAAATAACAACAAATACAATTCATCATAGTACAGAGTATAAAATATTTATTTATTGATATTCTAAGAACATATTTTTCAGATATTTACATAGCGTACATTTTGTGTTAGCCACAAGATACAATTTGTCAGCGAAATCGGTTTGTGTGAAAGCGAATTTGTAGATACGAGATACACGATATGAGATACAACGCAACCATTTATCAAATATTGAAAAGTTTTAACCAACTTGAAAACCACTTAAGTCTAGTGTGGCTTGGCGTATTAATTTTATCAAGATGAAAATTGTGTACTCGTAAATAAATTTTGGAATTTTATCACATCACATTCACATTCACATCCACACCACATCTACAGCACATCGAGCCCAGTCACGGCGAATGTAATTAAAATCGTTAAGTCATGCTCAATAAGAAAATTGAAATTAAATACGGACGACATAAATTTTAAGCATTTTTTATTAAACAATTTTTGTTTCACTCGGTAATATTTTGACCCATATAAGGAGACCGCAGACATACCGCACAAAATTCAAATAATTAATATCAGAAAAAATGAGATACGAAACCGAAGAATGCCAGTAGAGAAGCAGAAAAACTGCAAAGCACCAAAGTGCGGCATTCTGTGGAAAAGAGGGGCCGAGAGTGGTAGCGCTAAGTATGGTAAGAAACAACTTTCTAAATTTTAAGTAGGTGTATCGATGGTTACAATAGTTAAATGGTAAGTGGTAAACGCTTTGTGTCTAAATATGCAAGCGGGGTAGAGGTGAAGTGTACAACGAAACGAGTGCAGGTTACTCGAATTCCAGTACAAAACTCCACTGCGGCTGAGGTTGAGGCTGAGGCTGAGTCTGAGGTTTGATGAGTGTCCCACCACAAATATGCCAAGTATCAATGCATATATGAGCACATCGTAGGAGTGTTGTTGCTTGAAGTGAGCGATGTGGTGAGCTGAATTAGAAGGGTCCTGTGCTCATATTTGGATAACAGCAATTAAAATGACTTAAAAGTGCTTCAGTTAACTATTAGCGAAATTTTTTTTCAATGGATTTTTTTTTGCGATTTGTGAGGTTTCAACAGAAACCATGTTGTGTACCGATGGGAACTCATTCGAAATTAATTTGGCATGGTTTTTATAATATTTTTAGTTTATCACATAAATGCAATGTGATGAACTAAAAATTAGTTCATCACATTAACTAAATATTTTTAGCTAAAAAAATAATTTTTTACCTAACCTTGACAAAATGTTTGTGAATTATTGCCTAGATAGCATTAACAATATATAGTATATTGGCAGTATTGAAAATTTTTTAAGAATACTTTTACGCTTTATCGCACAGCATAGTAGGCTATTGCCATCATTTAAAGTTTTGGCTTTAATGAGAACATTACGTCCAAATACATCAACTTGATATTATGATCTAATCATGTCGATCAGATAAGGATTCATCTGAAACCTTCTGATTTTGATAGCTTTTACTGATGAATACAGTTTTTGTGTTAATGTAAAATTGTTAAATAAGTAGGTATACCGAACAGACGGGGTAGCTTTCAGGGTATGTTGATAGTTGTGGATCAGAGGCGATAGGGAGAAATGCTCAACATCTGCTATGATACTATCCGACAATTTCCAAACGTTCTTCCTTCATTGGATAATTATCTGACACTCCAAGCATGTGAGCTAAAGACATTGTCAGTTTTATTAAAACAAACCCGTGTTTTCCTGACCCAGAATATGAATACTTCTAACATAAACTTCAAGCAAACAACATAGTAAAGGGCTAGTTCATCTCTTAGTGAGTTCTTAGTGAGTAGAACCAAACTGATATAAATAGCATATGATTTCACAGGTTATAAGCGTATTAAGCAGCACTACGATTTCAAAAAATGAGTCAATCTCAGATGACAGCATATAAGCACTATCTGAAAGAGGATGAGCGTTATAGTTACATTATATTTAGTCTAGTTTTAATCTAGATCAGAAAAAGGATAGTGAGCCAGTAGTATCGGTCCTTTTCTGATATTATGATATCCGCAATGGGAAACGTTCAGATTTACTCGAAAGTCTGAAATTCTTCCATTAGTTTATAATACATTCCTTAAGCCAAGGATTTACACGATTAAAGTGTTCAATTTCACTAAGAATCCAGTTGTCTGGCATAGTGTATTCTTTTATTTTATAACATAAGCACCAGAAAATAATTATTCTTCAAAAAAACTAACAGTTGTATTTCTTTGAGTGATGTTTTGCTTTTTATAAGCGACTAAACGCAATAAAGATCATTTTTAATGTGAGATATAAAATATAATAATCACTTATATAAGTAATTAAGTTATACATTGAAATCTTTAGCCTATAGAATATCTCTACCCAATTGAGCTAAAAAAGTGTACCTAATTCATTTGAGCCACGTAACTGATCACTCTTCAAATATGTAAATAAATTAAAAAGTTCGAAAAGACTATATGAAAAATAAAAGGATGTCTCTTAAAATGATCAGACTGCTATGTAACAGCACTAAAACCGCAAACCAAGCCATTAAGCAAACAAAACCATTAAATAGCATATAATAACCATATTAATATCTGCTTCTATACAAAAATGAGCTCCCCTGTAGTAAATACTGGAAACTAAAATATAGTGCCTTTCACACAAATAAGTCATTTTATTCTTTATGGAAATAACAACTAATTTTATATACTAAATAGGACCTCTATGATATGGTATCACTAATGTCATTGACGAGAATGTTTACAATAAATTTCAAAATATTATATATAAATACACCTCAAGATTTTGTAAAGAAATCCTAAAAAATGTATCTCGATGAGTAAGTATCTCTAGGTAATAATTTAAAAATGCTTGCCTCTAAGAGTTTATTTTTTGATTGATCCATTTCAAAGCGCATCAACGCATGATTAAGAAAACAAGTGGCATCCTTACTAAAAGTTGTCAGGCGCTGACAAGTCACACGTACTCCATATGACAACAGTTGACGGTGATGTTACTTTAAGGAAGACAAACATTAAGAAAGTTCAAGTGACATTTCGGTTAAATGCATAAAATATGTTTGGTTTCTTTTTGCAAAATATCTTAAGATTAGGTTAGATAAGATATTTGTAAATATTTTACTGAAAGATATGTTAACACATCAACATAGGGCACAATGAGTATTAAGAACAGTTTTTAGAAACCGCAGTATATCAGACTGGTAACATATGTGAAAACTGTTGTGAAAAGTTCAATAATTTTTCTTTTTATTGATTCCGCAAATTGAAATTGTTACCAATTAATGTCGGTTATAGGTCTGCAGCCATACTTATATCAATGGACAAAAACTTGAATAATATACTTAGGCTTCGTAGTGCATTACAAGTGATATATCCTATTCTTAAGTAAACTTTTACAACTCAAATTTCATATCATAAGTTTTAGATTGTAAGATTAACTATATCTTTAATAATAACTAGTTAAATTTTCATTAAATCATAGATCAAAGTGAAAGAGATAAACTGAATATCACAGATCGTTCTTCAATCTCTCATAGCAACAGAGTACAGTGCTATCAACTTATATAAACAATATTGTGGTGTTTACAACGTACGGGTTTCAAATTATGAATTTCAAATACCTTTTATATAGAATATCATAATAAATTATAATATATAATAATTAATATTAACTTTTTCCCTTTGAAAATTCTGAAGATAATCTTTAAGAATGGTTCTGCTAACCACACGCAATACGTTCGCGGTCCAAAATCAATTACTGCACAGATTGGAGAGCCTCAGAAACAAGTACATACGTCCATATTTTTTTTTTTTTAAAAAAAAATATAAACTACGGTGATATTGTTAAATTAAGTTTTATGAATTTAATTAATTTGAATTTGGGACACCATAAAAATAAAATAATTTATATAATATAATAATTTACCTAATTTTGGTAGATTGAAATAAGTCGCGGGCCGCACGTGAGCTGGGTTTTGGACAGCCCTGTGCTAAAGAATTCTATGGACTGAAGAACTATTGTGGAATTATGTAGTTGGTCCAAAACTATATAAACTAAAAAATATTAGCTTTTGGTAGCAGTTTGGGTTACTTGTAGCAAAAAGTCCTATATACTTTGTTCTCAGGAATCTCTGTGTTTTACGAGGAATCGTTTTCTTTGTGAATATTAAAATATTATTCCTTCTGAATCAAGATCATATAAGAAATATTCATTTTGAATAGGATCAGCTTTAAAATCATTTAAGCTTATATTTTTCTATTTAAACTACAAATATACGTAAGCAGTTCAGATGATGACTCAAATTACTATTTTCAACTACGATGAATAGTTAATTCTACTCTCTTGACTAAAGCAACTGAGCAAATACTTAAGTAATATTCCGTGGAGACCTTTGCTATATTCAAAAGATACGAAATAAAGCGTTTCATGTGAATTGGTTTTTTTATTATTCATAAAATTTTATGTTTTTCGACAAACAAAAGAAAAAATTTATAAAAGTAAAAAAAAATTAATTAATAATAGAAAAAAGCTCAAATAAGAAATAAAAACAATTCGAATCGTTGAGCATTTATTTACTTACCAATTGCCTTTTATTTTTATTGTTTTTGTTGCTTTTTGGTGTTTTGTTTGATGCTGCCTGTGCCTGGTGCCTGGTGCCTGCTGCCTGCTGTTGCTGCATCTATGAGATACTTTTGCTGCGATTTTCGTTTACATAACGTGGCGGCGAGACATTTGATTATCGTTTGCTTATTTTTGTTTTTTTTTTTGCTTTTAGTTTTTGTACTTAAGAAGCGAGTTCTTATAATATTTAACAATATTACTAAAATATAAATATTTACACTTTCTTATTAGCATTCGATCGCTGCTGTTTGCTGCTTTGCTGTTTCTAATACCACAGCGAAGTTTAACCGAATTTTAAAACAAAATACACAGACAATTTTCACAGCAAATAAAAAAATATATTTTTTTGTGGTAAAATAGTAAAATTAAGAAATTTATTTTTCCGCAAACTTAAAAAAGTAATTCTTAATTTAATTACACCAACAAATGCTGTTATTTTGTAATGTGAAACATTTAAGTGCTTTTATAACGTCAGCAACGACGCGGCGACTTCGCTTCTACCAAAGAGTTACGGACAAACTGACAAACTGGCGTTTTTTGGTAACACTTCAAAGCCATACTCGTCGTCGTCGCCGTCGTCTATGAATAAGAATTACAAAAACAAATCACACAAACGAGGAAAAACAAAACGAGAAAAAAAGCTAAATCACACAATTTGAAAACTTGTTTTGCCACAAAATGAAACTAACGAAATGAAACTCTTAACGTTCACTGAAGCACGGATTCGTGCGGTGTTAAATACGCGACGTTCAAAAATATTAAAGGGGAGAAGAACACACAGTTACTGCTACTGCTACTGCTGCTGCTTCTTCTTCTTCTACTTACATTCTGCACAGCACACAGAACACACAGCGCACAGAACACACAGCACACGGAACACACAATACACAACACACTCAATCTCGTTTTTGTTGAGCAAAATTTTAACCACAACTTTTTTTGCTCGTAAAATCCGAATCGCTCTTTGAGTTATGGCAGCAAACAATATTGTTAACTTTTTTCTTCAATTGACATTGTTACCAACTTTTCAGAAAAACCAAATTTAAATAATGAAGTTTCCTCTAGTAGTGAGTACAGTAAGTAGTTCAGGGTAATAATTTCCGGTAATTAATTGAAGTTATCAGATTTATATCATTAAGTTTATTTTGAGAAATCCTAAATAGATTACAATGACTAAATTAATTTCGTTAAGAATAGTCTATTGGACGTTGTTAACCATTTTATGGGGTCAAAAATAAACACAAAGGAATCTGCAAAAAGGAATCGCTAAAAAGGAATCCATAAAAAGGGGTTTAGGGAGCAAAAATGTGAGTCGCTCGCATACCGAACTGATGGCTGGCGACTATAGCTTAAAAATTGTCAAATGTTTTATCTATCTTCGTATCACTGTAAGAAACAACAACAATGTGAATTTGGTGATCATACGAAGAATTGTAGAGAAATGTAGAGCACACACTCAAACAACAAAAATAACGCGCTATAGAAGCAAGGAGTTGATAACAGAGTGATGAAACAGCACTAGGAATTACGAACACTGCAATAACGACCGTTATCATGACATAATTTACCAAATTAACATCTACCGGCTTAGCTGGCGTATTGATGTCGTGAGACTGAATAATGACGTTTCAGTGAAAGAGGTGTTTTTTGAACTGGGTTATCAATTCACATTTTTTGTCTTCCTCTAAGTCTGAGCCACGAGAATTTTGTGGGTTCTACAACAACCAGATAGTTAGATAGCAGAAAGACAGACAGATGGATATTACTAAACGAATACGTCTTGTCAAGTTGATCATGTATGTACATACATATGTATTTTGTTTCTGATGTCCACTTATTCGTTGTACTTATAAACATGTTGGGAAAGTTAGTGTGTCCTTTAAGTACGATGAGCATTTACTGAAAGTGAATGCCCTACTGAAAGTGAAACTGATACAAAATCTTTCCTATATGGGAAAATATTAAGACTGATTATGATGGAAGTAAGGAAACATAGTCATTAGCTATAAATGATTTTGGAGAGGATTGTGTATGTAATAATAATATGTTTGTTCAAATTTTAGATATTAGAGAAAAAAAGGTGTAGGAAGGTTTTATAGTTAATATCATAAATTATATCTTTTTATTTTAATGTGTTTTATTTTGAATTTTATATTCAAAATTGGTTTAAATTTGAAATGTTATGTTTTGAATGGTTATTTAGAGTTCATATTCTTCAGAACATTTAAATTTTATTACGAATGAACACTTATATTCGTGTCAATTTATAGACGTGACATATATGAAAAGAAATATATGACAAGAAAAAAATTCAACTCAATTTATTTTACATCTGGATGTCATTATAATTTGCTTTCAGGGTTTCTTCGCTTTTTACTATTATAAGCATGGAATCTTAGTGCTCAACTCTTTTATTAAAAAAGTTAATCACATCACCTTTAATTTCGATGTATCATTTTACATCATCGATTCGTAAACCTCTTTAAATATCTTTGCTTCTGTTGTCCCATAAGACTTTGATCAGACTTGTCTGAACGACTGGGTTCACACGATTGTTTTATTTGTAATTTTAACTGTCAAAAATTCTCTATTTGCATTGAAGGCAACAAAAATTGACAGATATTTGTACAAATACAAATAAAACTACGTTTGAGTCCAGTATTAGAATGTTCAAGTTATATTAATGTAGATTTGGAAGATAATGTTTATGTTTAGTTTTTTATTTTGTAGAAGACTTTAAGGAACACTATGTGTATTTACCTCTACAGATCTTCCTTTACTAATATATTCTGTTTTATACTAGATGATATTACTATCGTTCTTTAGAGTTTTTTGGTTGTAGTAAAAGTTGAGTTCGTTATACTGCATAAGTATTACATCATTCCCCAAAAAAACTTAATATACTGTATAAATATTATTAAACGTATTTTTTAAAATAGTAAAATTACTTGAAACATAAAATATAAAAGTTTATTAGGTTTTTAAATGGAATGATTAAATACTAATCATGATCTATTAAGCCTTTCTAGTACTTTCCATATGTTATATTTTTTTAAATTAGTATGTTGAAAACACCGCCAAGATAGTTATAAAATTCCGTAAATCTGATTAAGGAATGATTAAATACAAAGTAGAATGAAAGTCATACCACATCTATTAACGATGGGTTGCTTTTAAATTTTCTATTTTATGGCCACAAAATTAAATAAGAAATGTTTTAAAATTTTCTTCTAATTTCTGTTGGAACAGATTTGTTAATTTATTTCTTAAACAAATGCTTTCTGCTGTAAAATGTTTTTATTAATAAAAGTTTATAAATTATTATTTGGCAAATACTTAAAAAGATTATTTATTGTTTATATTGAACAACGAACTTTATTGTGTATAAGCAAATAAATCAGATCTTTTGTTTTCTCTTCATTAATCTATTGAAGATTAGGGTAATTCATCTTAGTTTTTAGTAGATTTTTTATGAGAAAAAAATAAATGAAAGTAAAAGATATTTAAGTGGAAACATTGATTGGATTTAAATTTAATTAGTTTTTTTTGCATATGAAATTAATTTAATTGTCTTGATAATTAATTGTGCACAATCACCGTGAAAGATCAAATAAATATAATCTTTCTTTCGAACATTTTATTTTGTTGTGCTTTATCAAAACTTAATAAAAAGAAATTAGTTATGTTTATTAGTAATATATGTTATTATTAAAAAAAAAATTAAATGAAAGGAAAATACTATTTGATATAACGAATTTTTAACGAATTTGACAAATGAAACTAATCTGTATAATGACTATGACAACACACTAATCAGTTCAAATTAACAGACAAAAACAGTTTAAGAACTAAGTCATTTAGTATTTCGTAAAAATACAATTATTTCGATCTGAAGAAATCATTAATTTAGTATTATAGAGTTATTGCCCTTCAGTAATTTTTAAGTTATAAAAGAAAAACGTATGCTTCCAAAAAAAAAAGCTATAGTTGTTTAATACTTTGTTTTAACACTATTATTTAGAATTTCAAAACCCTTTACAAATAGTGATATATTAAAAATTGAGAACTATATTTTTCTAGTTTTGCCCACCGAACAATACATTGTACTTTCTTTTTAAATGAAAATAGTTCAGCACTCGATTCTTTGTGCCAAGTAATAAAAAAAAGTTTTAGAGAGAGATACTTCACTTTTAATCTTTAACCGTATAGAAATTGTCAAAAACAACTTAAAATGAAATATTCCTGAAAACCGCTATGTCTACAAAAATATAAAAAAAATTTATATATATCGAACTATTATTCGATTTCAGTAAATTTGAAAGTTATAACAGTTCAAAACTGTGTTTTTTTAAGATTCCAGTTTTTTTTTAAGAAAGACTTATTTTATTTAAAACTTTTGTAGCAATTTTTTATATATAAACGTTGATATAATTGTAGAAAACTAACTGCAAAAAAATTTGAACTTATTATATCACAGATCATTTCGATTCTTTCTAGCAATCCTAATTTACCAGCACTAGTAATAAGTATAATAAAATTAAATATCGGCGGATAACAGTGTTCGCTCTAAGTTTCTCACTGATTACGCAATGTCAAAGAATTTGGGAACCAAGTATGTTTAAAACGTATGTAATAGAGTGAAAGCGGGTCACGGTCTTCAATACATGTATTCGAAGTCAAATTCGAAGAGTGTTAGGTAGCTTTTTTTCGTATTCCAATCAAAATTGAAGTGCAGAAATCACAAAAACCGAGTATTAAAATTCTCGGTTTTATTGTTATTTGAGATAACAAAATTATATATAAAATTCTAAAAATGTGTTATGACCTATCTAACATATAACGAACAGAAAATAAAACAGATCATCGAGTGTGTTTAAAAGCTCATAAAGTGAAAGCGAATATAATGTTGTATAGCTAACCTCTTATCAATTGTCAGATCTGCATTAAATTTATAAATAGTTTAAGTGTCAATTTAATTTAGTAAACATATTCTATAAGTAGAACTTTCTTACTATTAAAGTGATTACCAGGATCAGTTTTCACAACAAATTACTGTTTGTTGGCAACCCTTTTTACAAGAAACGATAAAGCAACAAACAATTAAATTTGGACCAATGTTGCTGTGATTAATAAAAAAAGTTTAAGGAATTTCCTTAACGCTTTCGACTTTCTTTAATAAGTCAATTTTTTATATATATTTATTTCAACTTTTCTCTTTTGCGTTATGTGGAATAAATTTGTATTTTTATGTGTCAGTTTTAAGTGCTCTTCAACTATTTCCTTTAAAACATTCACGTCATCGTCCAATTTGTGGTCCAACTGGCTGACTGCACACTTAAAGTCCGGCACCAGTAAATTTTTATCTGTTTGATTTAATTTTTTTTCCATTTAATGTCAAGTATACGCAGCGTAAGCTGCTGTGTAATTTTTGTTGCTATATTTGTAAAGTCCTGCTGTGGGATGTGTGACAGTAATATAATTGTAAAATATCCACTTAGCTTTTACTATATTTTCTGGTTTTATTGTTGTCATTTTTTTTTCGATTTGCTGCTTGCTACTCATATGTTATTATCATGTTTGTTTTTGTTTTATTCGTTTTTATGTCAATAAATAAGCGCGCATACTAAAAGAGAAACAATATGCATTGATAGCCACAACAATAATAACAACAATAATAATGACAACAACAATGAAAGTAGTGCTAAATAGAACAGCAAAGCTATGACAAAAACAAAAACAAAAACAACATCAACAGTGGTTAAGCTTTCTATAAATATGTGTATAATTGAGTGTTAGTTGCTTGCCACCGTTTTTCAATGCACACAAGATGCTAACGTATGATTCTGTTTAGACGATTTACTATTGTATATGTGTGTGTGTATGCTTTATTTTCAATTTCTAAGCCGTGCCCACAGTAACTCAGGCGATTTCTAATGTTTGTTGTTTATGCTTAGCATCGTGCTTTCTTGTTTTCATCGCTTATGTTTGTGACTGTGGAACTGTGGAATTGTGGAATTGTAAGCTTGTACTTTTGTTGTTTAGACGGATATTGTGTGCGTGTGTGTGTGTGTGTGTGTGTGTGTATGAACTTGATTATTTTTTATGTGCTTAATGTACGTCTGCTATGTGGCATAGTCATTATTTGAATTGTTATTGTTCTTCCATTGAACATTGCTATAGTACAAAATATTTTTATTTGTCTATTTATTTCTACGTATATTTGCAATTTTCTAGTAATTTTGCTATAAATTATTATCTCTACAAATATACGCTATTTTAATCGAATTTCTTTTCTTTGTAAACACTTAAAATATTATTTTTGTATAATTCAGCATTTTTTGTTTTTGTTTATTTACATATATCTGTATACATTTTGCTGTGGTATTAAAAACTAATTACTTTAAAAACAAACAATTTTTTTTTTGCTATTTTCGCACTTTACACTTTGCTACACCTTTCACAATTCGTTACACATAGGAATTGCAAATTTTAAAGAATTAAGGTAAACTCGTTAATTATTTAATCCCAACATAACTGTGTATAAGTGAAATTCTTTTTGGCCTTTAACTTTGAAAAGCTTTCAAATTTCTTTATTTTACTTTTTATTTATTTATTGGTTATTTTGCAATATATTCATATATGTATAATATATACAGATATACACTTCTTATTTATGCACATTATTATTTGCAAATATTTTTGTTTTGTGCAAAAAATAAACACATTCATTACTCGAATTTGATAAAATAAATTAATGCATCGAGTGAAAGAAAAACCAAATATGCTTCAGACACTCAAAGGCATACCAAGACTTTCTAGTTTTAACGTTTGCACGTTTGTTCAACCGCCGTCATACTAACTGAACTCACGATTTATATTCGAATTATTTTATTCCAAAACCGTCTCACGACATGTGCACATTTACGGCTCAGTGTTTCAGTACTTCATTTGTGCTAATAAACGCTGCCGGCTGCTGGCGCAATTCTGTTTCCGCTCTTCTGTGTGCGCGCTCAATAGAAAAGAGCAGCACAATCAACACAGTACATTGAGTAAAAATTCATGCACGCCTCTTTAAACGCCCTTTTCGTAAACTCTTACTATCAACAATTCAACAAATCGTTGCTCACGCAAATGCTGCTGCTACTGCTTCTGCGGCTGCTGCTGCTGGTACTGGTACTGTTGCTTCAGCAGTTGTTTGTTGCTTTATTTGTTAGCAACCATTTCCAGGTATTGCCAATGTTGTTGACACGAAGGTTTCTCTTTTAGTCTGCTGGCCTTTCTCTGTTTTGTTGTTGAGTTCTCAAGCACAATGCATATTCGAAGTTTCAAAACGTGTTCATTTAGTGTTGCCAACTTTGTTAAATAAATAAAGTTTTCTGAGCTTTAAGCCATTTAAAGCATTTCTTTTTGAAATATTTGTATATCTAACGTATATCAAAGTTTTAAGATATATTAAAACAGAAAGTTATGTTTTGATAATAAAAATTAAGTGATTAATTTTTCAAAAATATCTAGTGGATTTGGGTTAAACAAAGAAAAAACTTTTTGTTTTTGCAAATATGGAAAATATTTATTAAAATTTTTTTTTTTAAAATACTTTTTTTACTTTAAATAATTTTAGGAATGCTTTTATTCCTCTCGTATTGCTTTCATAAGGTATGATTTTTTAATATTAATTGAAATTAATTATTCTATTTACAATTTAGAAGTTTTTCGAACAGTAGTGAACAACAACAACAAAAATTAATTTTACATTATTTTAAATAATAAGCTGTATGGTCAACAGCTGTTTCGAATATTGTCAAATACCCATCATCAGTGGTCTTGAAAATAATTTTTGTATTTAATTATTCGTAATTTTTTCAGACTTCAAGTATTGGGAAGATAACGAGACTTAGTACTTAGAAATCGATGTTGATTTAAGCGAGTAAGCATGAGCGAAAAAAGATAGGTGAACAAAATGTGGTTATTGAACAAGGGAGGAGGATAAGTTAATTGTAGATTTTGTGACTAGGGTCACAAAAGTCACGCTTATAGATTGAAGTGATGTTAACGTGTTCTTATTAAAGAATAAAATCAGATATTGGAGGCTTACAGCAAGCAAAAAATCAAAGGATGGTGCTAAAGAATGGAATGTCGGATTATATAGCCGGGTGAGGTAACACTGGGCGAACGTAAGAAGATAATCATAGATGCAGAGAAGTTTGATTTTATGAGTAAATTAGTACTTGAAAGTGGCTGAAAGTGGCATTTTGAAGCATTTTAAAGCTGTGCCGTGGATTACTCAATATTTACTTCTATCAGTTGTGATGAATGAACATATTACTAAAAGTAAATATGAATTGTGAGTGCTGTTTGATATTAGATTTAGTATATGCTAGTATATATTACAACTTTTCAAAATCACAATATATTATTTTATATGTAACTTATTTGGATAAGCTTAAAAAAGTATTACTCACCAAAGTAGTTAGATAGATTTTTTTTCCATCTCATACTTTCTTACAATAAGTGAAATAATGTTATTTTGGAATATATATTTTATTATGATAAGTGCTTAATCGTCATAAGACGTAATAATTGAAAAGAAATTGTTATTGTAAAATAATTAAGATGAATAATTTATCACCGTGCTAAATTATAAAGCACAGAAGCATGGGCGCTGTTACGGAACGATGACGCATCACTGGAAGTTTTTGAGAGAAAAGTTCTTCTTAAGATCTTTTTTCTATGAGCTAGAGACGACTACCTCCAACGAATGAACCACAAACTGTACGAGCTAACAGCACTTAATGTAGGAGTCTGAAGAATGAACGCATTTAGCGGAAGTGCCTAAAGGTATAAGCCGAAAAAGACCGAAACCCGGGACAGGTCGAAACCCGGTAATGGATTATTATAGTCATTTAAGTAAGTGAGTAATAAACATAATAAAGTTTAAGCTATGGTTGCCTTTTAAAGTTCACTTAAGGGCATTTTGGGAAACCTAAGAATATTTAAATATATTATGGAATTTTTATAAGTAATACCGATTCATTTGTTAACTTATTTAGTCAATTTTAAAAGAAAAGTAATTAGTATAAGCAATAAATAAATAATTATTATTTACGTTTGTTAAAATAAAAGTATTTAAAACAAAAAAAAAATTACAAAAGTATAAATTATTCTTCTCATGTCAGACTCAAAAACCAATCAAAATCGTATAATTATTATTCAAAGCGTATTTTCGTAATTAAGCAGAAATTCCATACAAACAAAATCAAAGGTGCCTTTGTGTAATTGCATTTAAAAGTATTACCCATTCATCAGCCATCCTCTCTGAAAAACAAAGGGAAAAACACTTCTAAAGAAAAAGTGGCGTAAACTGTTCACATATTTGGCAAACTGAGCAATCAAGAGACATAATATTCCAGTGGTTGATGAGCGACAAA